CCCTGGCAGTTGGTCTTCGGGCTTTTTATGAAGATCTGGACAGTAGTCAGCACTACGCTACTCAGCCACTGACCATCGACTTACTGATCATCTGGGCTTCTCGTACAACAGCACCCAAAACTTGCCAGCACTCTGCAAACCGCGCCTCAGCCTTGAACCAGTAGCACGAATGCAAGAGGTACTGGACTGTGTAAACATGCCCGTGGCCAACAGGGATGGCGCTGTGAAGCTCTCGAGCAGCATCGTGATACTTCTGCGTCAGTTCCTTGACAGATTCACCAACATCACTTTCGATCTTGGCTCGGAGTTGGCCATCAACATGCTGCACGGAACAAGCGCAGACCATGAGTAACAAGCAGGTCCATTGAACACCGCAAGGTCGACCTTTGGTGTAGTCATCCCACCAGCGGGCATACTCTTTGCTAAAGTAGGGTGGGTAGACGATGTAATAGTAAAAGTTGACGACATCAAGAAAGCTCTGGACCAGGGAATCTGCTAACTGTAAGATGACTATCACGCGACAGTATTGGTGGTCTTACCAACGACGTGTCTTGGTGGTAACACGTCCAAAGCTCGCTTCAATTGGGCGCTGTTCTTTGGGTCAAGCCTGTACTGCTCAGAAGGCTTTGTACTTCCTGACTGTACGATGTGAGCAAACACGCGACAGCGAAGAGGGGAAGACTTACGTCCTGATCAAGCTTTGTCAACAAATGAAGGCGACTGTATCCGATCGCTTCCAAAACATCACCAACATCCGAATCACTCTCGTCACCCTCTCCCGCCTGATCTCTCTTCCTTTTCACCTCAACAGAAGCCGACCAAGCATCGTCACCGGAGCCAACCTTGAAATCGTCCCTGAAACGGCATTGGTCGGCGACTTTTCGCTTCTGGCAGTTGTTACATGGCCATTGACGGTTACATTTCTGCTTCCGTCGATGACACTCTGTACAGGCGGAGCGTAGGAGGGCTTCTGGTTGGGCAATGGCCTCCTGAGAGGACTTCCGAGAATCATCGGGCATGGTGATGTAGGGATGAGTTGGGGTGCAGAAAAAAGGGCGGGGCATCAGATCTTGGGTTTATCTAGGTTTATGTTTAGTGATCTATGATCGACGGCTAGTCCCGATATAGTAGAGATCCGCGCCGTATAAGGGTCGAAAAGGAGGCTTCGGAGACGGAATAACGAAAACAGGTGCAATAATGTTTTTCCCTTAGGTGAGGCTTGCTATGTCTCAGTTGTTTGGTTGTACGTTAACGAGAATTCAAGGATGGACCCCTGTTTTTTGATGCAGGGGCTGAGTGAGATTGAGCGTGCAGAGAAGCAACTAGAAAAGAGGGGCAGTTGGCTTTGAGCTGTGAGCAAAACAGGACTGGCCGTCACACAAGTTAATCCACAAAATGATAACGCAGAATCAAATCGTCATTCTCATTCAATCCATTATCGTGTCCTGGAATCCTCTCCGATGTACTCTATCGGCGTTTGATTCGAACCCCGCGATCATGTTACACAAATTCAGAACATCATGGCTGGCCTGGTCCAGACGTCGTCCCATAGAACCAACCTTATCTATCTAGTTTATCCTTAGCAGCCAGAATCCAGTATCCTCTCTGTTCTCCAAATACGGCGGAGGGTCGGGATAGGTGTTTACAAAAGGCACATGCATGATATGCAGGCTCCCATCGGAAGCGCACCAGACCTGCTTACAAGATCTTCGAGCCTTCTCCAAGCCGGAGTTAACAGGTCGAATATGTTTAGTGATAGTACCGAAAACTTTCTCTGGTAGCGCAAAGGCACACTCTTTAAACTTGGGTCTGCTCTTGACAAACTGCAGCAGCTTGTTGATAAGCATATCGTGCGCCTCAGGGTTGGAGATACCACGTTGACTGTACTCCTTCTCAAACGATATGCATAGTCTCCGAAGGTTGGGGAAGCTTGTGCGTGACAACGTATCCATAACAACGCTCAGCTGATCAACATTCAGCTGGAACGGATGAAGTAGCCTGCGTATGGCGTTTGTGTGCTCATCGTGATGTCCAGCACAAGCTTCATTTTCTCTCTCAAGAGGCCACCTGATTTCGAGAGAAGTGACCGCAGCGAGCCTCTGAGGGAGCACCAGCTGCCCGATACGCGATATCATCGCTTCACCAGACATGGCAATCGTGTTGCTCGAGTACAATAAGTCAACCATCTCAGCGTAACTGCCAAGGCCAGTCAGCATTCTGTTCCGGATGTAGCATATTGCTCATTACTGACTTCTGGCGACATGAAAGCAGCCAGCTCATTACGCCAATTTTCTGGGGCTCGATATCGCCATGCTTGCAATCATCTTCCCAAAACTCCTGCTGTTCTGCTGCATTTCCTCGTGGCCTGGGCGTCTCTCCCCGATGGCAAAAGGAACCAAACCACTGCCAAGACTCGACCTTCTCGTCATCAGATGTATGCTTTTCTCGAAAGGATAAACTCATATGAACACGGCGATCACCAAAGGCCAGTCGCAGTATATCTCGTCGAATATTGGGAGGAAGCTTAAACCATGGCGACTTTTGGAAAAGCGGAACTGGTCTCTGAACCGTCTCACTAGGATCTTCATCCCGGAAGCCTAGTGGCGTCATGGCACGGGGCCGTAAATTAGGCAACAGCGGCATCTCGTTCACATGGTCTTTCCAATGAGGCAGAGAATCGTCCACCTCATCAGGCCACCAATAGCACGGCGAAGTTGGTGAAAATGTAGGTGAACTTGGTGTTTCCACCGAACTCGGCGAGGATGGAATGTCTATGTGGTAAAAATCCGACCACTGATGCGGCGAGAGATACTGTTCTTCTTCTTCTATCTGTCTCAGTGTTTCTGCTCCAGCCTGATCTCGTCCGGCGAAGGACAAGAATTGCACAGCGACAAACCTGCTTCCACCGTTTCCGGCTGCTCTGGGCCTGGGACCCGGCCCGTCTCTGAAGAATCATCCATTGTTGCTCCTTAGTGAAATGTGATGATGGAAGAGGAAAAAGAAAAATGATGACGGTTGTTGCCTGCCGCGTTTCATATGTTGATCGGAGAGCTTACGGTGCACGTGCATTATCCTGCCAATGGAAGTTACGTAATCCAACATTTATATGCAAGGCCCATAGGGTAGGTTGAGAGTCTCGATGAAATTTTGACGAGATGGAGAATGTGCAGATCATATGACCAGAAGTAAGAGGAGCTATTAAAGATGCATTGTAGATTTGGGCAGAAGATCGACAGATCATTGTTTGATGCAGTGCCCCTAACTGTATAAGTATCCGATGGGATCTCATGCATCACAGCTTCGGCTCAGGTTCTCTGGCAAGAGTCAACCAAAATACTCTTGTCTCGAATGTCAGATCATAATTACTCACTTGTACTCATTCTTCATCTCTCTAAGCTTCTCCATAACGCTAACTGGATCTGTCTCTCCAGTCGCCCTTTGGATGTCGGGATCCTATTTGGTCAGCGCTGAATTCTTACTCTTGTTGATATGAGGGCTTACATCCAGTCTCATGAATACATTATGTTGCTAAACAATAAATATCAGTCAAGTGCTTTCAATCAACCCCATAGGATTTCTGCTCGACCTTTTCATGTCCGATCGTGTACTTGCCCACTGTGACAGGGTTTGCTCCAGAGAAGCTCAGAAGCTGCTGCACTGGTTCGCTCTGTGATACAGAGATTGCGAACTCGGCATTGCTTCGAGTATACTCATGACCGGGCTGTGTTCGTCAGTCTAATTCCTATACAAGGTTGATACTGAATAGGGTAACTTACAAAGACGACCGTATCATCTGGAAGTGATGCAAGATGCTTGTTCAGCGCCACGTGCATCTCCTCTGCAGTCCCCTCAAAGAACCTCCCGCATCCTGTCATGTCTCTGTGAGCAAACTGTATTTCTCCCAGACTTTGGGCAACTAACCGCCAGTGAACAAGGTGTCGCCTGTAAAAACTGCCTTTTGATCCCCATCTTGGAAGAAGAAACAGATACTATCCTGCGTATGACATGGCGTATGTATACTAGTTATCGCGATGTTCCCAAGCTTGAAAGTCTCACCATGACTTGGAGTTTTCGTGACTCCTTCGCAGTCCTTGCCTCCGATAACGTCAAGTTTGAGGTTGATTAGTGCAGCTAGCTAAGTCTTCTCGTTAGTCCGCACAGTCGAAAGAGACACGATACGATACATACGATCTCTTCGTTACCGCCAGCGTGATCCCAATGGCTAGATGATATTAGTTCGAAGTACTGTTACACAGCGTTGACTGTCGATGACTGACTGGTGAGTGTTTACTACAGCGACAAGATTGAGTTTGTTTGACTGAATAGCAGCAATGAGAACCGGAGCAACCCTGGAGACCTTGTCAGCCGGGTTCTAAGTAAATCCAGATCAAGCGCTTACTCTCCAGGATTTGCAGGGTCTATAATCAGAGCGTCGCGACTCTCATCATCGACAACCAGATAAGCCCAGTTGTCATTGCTTCCCCACCCTGCTAAGAATCAGCGACAAGAAGGAGCAGGTAATCATTGAGCTGTCACATACACATGGGTATCGGTTGGATAAACATGTTGCACAAATGTTTGGCTTGATAAGATAAGAGATACAAGGCGATGATGTTATTTCCAAGCAATAGTTTAGTGGTCTAAGTCATTTATAGTCTCTATAATATGTGCCCCTCCTGCTGAGCTTGTGACGAAATTGCATCCATTCAGCCGAGGTAATTAGAACAAAAGAGGGAATTTTTACAGAGGGGTTTAGGGCGAGGCGACGCACTTCTGCCCCCATCAGTGCCGGGCCAGGATGTGAGTGATTGAGCCAAACGTGATTGGTGTTCCAGGCTTATCAGCCGCTACTGAACTTTAACTGTCAGCGCAGCCAACCGCTAATCTTCAGAGGCCCGACCCCTGAAACACTTATCTTCATCCGGTATAAGAGGCACTGTTAGGTAATCAGTCACAGGGTCGAGCCTGGCATTTTGCGGGGTAAGACCGCTGAATCTCAACTTTTACCGATCCTTATCTTGGACTTGAACTGACAGAATCCAACGATCGTCACCTTGTGACAATATCCATCAATCCCGGGTCGACAAACAGCAATATCGGGAGAATCTCATCTTTTTCTAAATGCTCCTTGTTTATCAGATGCCTTCTCAGCAATCCAGTCAAGGCCGAGTTGCCCGATCCAGGGGCGGTTGCGTAACATGCAGGTCAAAACATGTAGGCATCGGAACTATCCCCGTACTTTGAATGTGTACTCATCCATTTATAGGCAAAATGCGACGAAGCAAAACCAACTTGCAAGTCATGCGCTGCACGTGGTCAGAAATGTGGTGGATACCGGTTGGATGTTCGATGGTCTACCAAGCATGAGAAGCGCACTCGACAGCCCCAATCGCGACCTCGTCAGTCGCGAACAGAGGGTTCACCTTCGGCGCGGTCCACGGAGGCTCAACCAGACACACATTCTCAGATCTCATATCGATCAGAGAGTGCGTCTGTAGCTGGTAGAAACTCCATTAGCTCGGCAGCAGCGATTGTTCCCAATGATTTTGACCCAGCTACAAGCGCGCCTGTCTTTCACCTCAACGGCATTGTGTCACCCTTGTTCCCGATGTCTACAGACGGTGACTTCTTCTCAAATCAATTGGAACAAGAACACGAGGAAGCAAGCCATGCTTTCAGTGGCACCGACAGCGAAAATCACGACGCTTACTCCCTATCAAACATGACGTCCTCCGTATCCCCCTTGCAGTGGGGAGACGATTTCTTAGGGTCTGCTCAAAGTGACAACGACCTAGTTTCAGCTTCAGAAACCCTCTCAATTCCAGTTGGTAATATGGCCTTTGACTTCAACATGCCCTTACCGACAGTCGACCCTGGCAGACTGACATTCGAAATGACACCAAACGCAATCACATATACGCCATCTGTGCTCATCGAGTACTGGTTTCGCCACGTCTGTTCTCTGTGGTCCAATTACGATTCTGATGTCAACCTCAACCGGACTATTGCTGCCGCTCTATGGTCTAACTGCGAGCTCGTTTATCTAAGTTTACAGGCAATGTCGGCCGCGCACCTGTCCGCCAAAGTACCAATGATGCGGCAGACATCGATAACGAACATGAAGGCGGCGGCCGAAATCATGAGAGCTGACTTGCATACTGTCAAGTCGCACCAACTCTTCAATTCAGTACCTACAAGTCTCTTGTTCTCCCTGATGGGAATTGGAACCAGCATCTGCTGGCTCAATGCCACTCAGCTGGGATTACCATTTCTCTGCGAAGCGAAAGCCATCCTTCATGCTGTCAACAAAAACAAGCACGCATTATCCGAAGAACAGCGGCAATTGCTATCCTTCTTCAATAAGAGTTGGCTCTACTGCGAAATGCTATTGTCCATGGTGACATCGAGCTGTAGAAGCTTACAGAAAATGGAAGAAATGGGTGACGTCGAGGAAGCAGTTCCTGCCAGTGCGCCTGTGACGGCAGACCCAGTTGAACAGGTTCCGCATCCGTGGACTGGGGTCTCAAGCGACAGCTATAAACTGTTCATGCGGGCAATGAAACTTTGCCACAAATTCAGACGCAAAATCCGGAAACCACAAGACATGTTTGCGTCAGCCAACATCAGCGCTGCCATGCAGCTCATTGAAGAAGCTGCCGTGGTAGAGAAGCAGACTTGCCATCTCGATGTGGAATGCCGCGAGACAATTGGAGAGACGAATGACAAGAAGACGCCTAATCAACACCTCTTCAACGTTGCCGAAGCTTACCGTCAATCAACCCTGTTGCAATTGTACCAGACGTTTCCAGAACTCATCGTAAGACGACACGAGCTGGATCAATCACAGGCGAAAGATGCCCAAGCCTTGTGGGATAACTGGATCACCCCAATCGCTATGAACTTGGTGAGCATACTGAAACTGTTACCTACAGACTCGGGTAGCAAAATGACCCAGCCACTACTCTGCGTCTCGGCCAGCACTGGACTCAGGCGAAAACATATTGAAGTCAAGGCCACTACCCCCAGAGATGTTCCCTTCAGCCAAGATGCCAGTCTGGAGGATTGCGACATGATACATTACCTTGACTTCGCTGGCCTTCACGATGAGCTGCCAGAGGAGTCAGAGCCAGAGCCAGATCCAGATGCAAATGCGGGAATCATGGCTGCCAGACAATTTCTTCACGAGCGTCTGGAGACGTTGAAGACCGTCCTCCCCCCAAAGCCAGTGGCAGTAGCGCAAGATTTGACCAAAGCTATCTGGCAAGCCTATGACACGGAACAGTGCGCGAAGTATGCGACGCATTGGATAGATGTGATGGATAGTCGGAATTTGAAGTCGAACTGGGGATAGTGTGGTCCAATATGTATTTATAATGATGTGATTGTACTTTACATTCGAAACCAAGTAATCCTGCATCGCGTACAACATCCTTCCTTTAATACACATTCCCAATACTTTATAGCTTAGGTGGTTTGCAGCACGAAGAGTCACTCATAGCCGCTAGCTTGCTAACCTTATCAGTGGTATCAAATCCAGCCTTCTTAGCAGCCACTTCACTGGGAGTGATTGAGTAAGAAGGAGGCACGTCCATGACAGGGTTGCAGGTGAAGAAATGACGGGGTCTGAGCAAGAGTGTAATCGGCTCAGCGGGCATAACTGGGAAATCCTCTGGAGCGGGGAAATGCGTGATACCAAACGTGTGCCAGAGGACGATATCAGTATTAGCGACGCTCTTAGTACCGTCACCAACCCAAGCCCCGAGGCCTCTGGATGGCTCACCGGAGGTCTGAGCGACGTGGTTGCCAGCGGCCCAGAGCTCATCATCCGCATCTGAAAATGGTCAGCATGATGCATAGATACGTAAGGATGAAGAATGTCTTACACTTCGTCACATGAACAGCATGACGAGCAAAGAAGGCTCTCTTCCATACAAGAGAACCCTCCTTGGGCATCAAGTTCGGCACGTCTCGGCTCACAAGCTTGTACGAGACAGGCTTGCCACTCTCAGAATTGAGCTTGTTCTCATTGACAATGTCCCAGGAGCGAGATGTAGCACCATTGTAGTCAGTGATAGATTGGCCAGTCGTCTCGAGTCTGGTGCGCTTAGCATAGAAGGCGTTGCCGTACAGGTTTTCTGGGCTGCCAACTGGGGCATCCGAAGGTACAGCATCAACCATGTGGACCGTGTTCTCGTGTCCGTCGACGCTGGGGTTGATACGGAGAAGGAATAGATGCTGATGGTTATGGGCGTTGACACCTTGGTAAGGTTAGTCTGAAGGTCGTAACCGTCATTGGAAGACTTACCTTTCTTGACTTGCGTTCCGTAGCCTTGCAGGTCCTCACCGGGGTTCATAATATAGGTGTTGAGGATACCAGTGAGCTTGATGTCTGGCTGGATGGTACCATCCTGATGGAACACCCACTGTGTTCTGTTAGTAGTCTCCTCTTGATACTTGGCAGATGCAACATACTTGAATGGCGTACTCATAGTTGGCAGCAGTAAAGACATGCTGAACGATAAGCTTTCGAGCACGTGTGACGATAGTTGAGTTGTCTCGGAAGTCTGTGTGCTTGAACAGAATGCCATCGTCTTCCTCATGGATGCATATGGCATTCTCAATCTTTCTAATCTGACCGGTCTGGGTTGGGAGCTCGGCATCGAGATAATGAATGGCACCTTTACAGTTAGCTTGGTGAACTAGCTGGGGAGTGAGAGGCAGCATACCCTTGCAGTCACAGCCAAGTGAGAGACTGTTTGTCAGATATCCGGCACCATACTCGCCCAGATCGAAGGCATGCTTGCGATGATGAGGAGGCTCGGGGTGACCACTAAGTATTGATGTCAGTGTGAGACTTGTCAAGAAGGGCGGATGGCAACGTACTAGGGAACAACCATCTCGGAAAGAGACATGCGATAGAAGATCGGCCTGACGTTTCCCTTATCGTTGAAGGTAATGTTGTTGAAGACAATACCCTCACGATAATTGAATCCAATATGGAACTTCCAATTCTGCCACTCTAGCTCCCTTCCGTTGACATTGAACGAAACACCCTCCGGCTGGGAGATGTAAATCGGTTTCAAGTTCTTTCTATACCCACCCTCCTTCTGGATATATAAATGATGGTAATCCACGGCCTTGTTTCTCTGAAGAGGTCGTCGAATGCGAGGAATATCGATAGCGATGATCTCCCTCTTCCTGGGATCATAGATCGGGTGGAAGTCAAGGGGATATTGGTATTGGCAGTTATCGACATCTGGGCGGAAGTACATTAGGCCTTGGAATAGGCGTGTGCTGCTACCGTATCGAGGGTCGTGGCTGATGGTCCATGGGTCAGCGTAGACTTTGTGCATCTCGTCTGCGGCGATTCCGCTGATTCGGCATTGTTCGATGACTTGAGGATCTTTGCGACAGGCTTCTTCGACTTCGAGCATTTCTTCGACGATAAGCTGCAAGATGGTCATCAATTAGCTATTTTTCCGATGTGATTCTTGGGGGCGGTCTCACAATAGGCTGTTGTCCTTCAGCGCGCTCCCACTTTGTGATCCTTTGACTCTTCAAATCGACAAGTCCATCGTAAACATGGCCTTTACCCTCTCGTGGATCAATGATGACAACTTCTGCAACACGTCGAGGCCTAGCACCGCTGGAGGGATTGGCAAGCCAGGCAACCATCTCAGCCTTGCGCGGCTCCTGCAGCGTTATGACGTGGAAGTGGACTGCATCGCCATGCTCTTTGCGCACAACAGAGGTAGCCAGCCGGATTTCCTCTCCGCTGAGAGGATCGAAGGGATGAGGGATTGAACCTGACATTATAATGTGTATTGATTCAAGATGTCTTGTTTGAACTTGATGCGAGATGCTTCAATTGAGGGCCTTTGGTTGCATCAAATACTTATCCAACAACAGCATGAATGCGATGGACAAACGTAATCTCAACTTGAGAAGTTCCAATCTTTGCCTATAATCAGCATGGGCCGATATTTCGGATATGTAGACCCTTAGCCTGTCTGATCTGAGTGAATTATTGTACGGAATCGGGTGCTCGACACGTTCTACCACGATGGGCAAGCCGTCACCAAGTAAAGCTCTCCTCAGAGCTCTCCACCTCGGCCCCATTCCGTTCAGTGCCAGGAGAGGAGCTACCCCGGAAGATGGCTTAAACTTGCATACCTCAACGCTCAACTACAGTACGCAGCAAGGCTAATCAACCCCGAATGCCAGTTGAAGCTTGAGGACAGGCCGGCTACTCAAGCTGTTCGACTCGTATGAAGTTCACCCAACTGCTCGCTTCCTTACACTTGCCTAACTCGGTAAGTGCTACCTCGGCAGATGGGAAGGATTAATTGGTCGCAGTACCAAGTCTTAGCGCAAAACCTAGGCTAGAGTTGCCAATCACGGTTAGTAAGTGGCCAGGATTCAACGACAAGCGAGCGGAGATGGGAGACTGAAGAAGCATGTTGTAAGTTGACTCAACACTATCATTGTCTTATCATATGTACGAGCAAGGTATGACATGGGGGGCAGCAGAGCTCACATCATAATACTTTAGGGTATGGAAAAGAATGAATTCATCTGATGTGGAGGCTGGCTATAGAAACTTGGATCCCTAGTCTAGAAATTTGCTTTGCCAGTAAACCCTTCGTTCTGCACCAATTCGATCCAATAATTATCAGGGTCAAGAAGAAATGCAACATTCTTCATCTTTCCATCTGTGAGTCTCTTCTTCCACGCAGCGTTCAGTCCTTCCAACCGTGCACACGCTGCATCAATATTATCGACAGTAACACCTTTGCAAAGTCAGTTATTTCTACCATAGAAACAAGACGAATTAACTGACAGATATGACCAAATCCTTGAGGTTGATCGTTTCCATTATGTACTTTTGATATCGCGTTCTCTCCGCCTTGCCAGATGAGAGCGAGTAATCCTTCACGGCGTGACAAATCTTCTGTTCCGGTGAACGGGCTGGTGAAAGGATACCCTAAAAGAAATGTCTTTGAGTTTCCGTTCTGGCTGTCGAGAGTTTTGATCAGCTTCATTCCGAGATTCTCTGTGTAGTAGCGAACGGATCGAGTGGCGTCGGTGACTCGCAGGGCGTATTGATTCTACATGAATGTCAGTTCGCGATATTTCATGATTTGAGAGGAGGATGCAGACATACTACACTAAACGAGCCAGGAGGGCTGGAAGCCGTGCTCTTGTTTGGTGACCCCTCCTCAGTGATGCGTATCCAGTAACCGTCTGGATCCAGAGCAATTACCGGCTCGTTCCCGGAGGAGACATCCTGCTGGAACTTGAAACCAGCTTTGGCCAGCGTCTGGTAGGTATACTGCACATTCGCCACCGACATCGAGATATGAGAGAAGCCGAGATAAGGTTTTTCATTGCCATTGCTCACTCGATAATTTTCATCACTCTCAGTGCCGTAGTTGTGAGTGAGCTCGATTAAGCCTTGACGATCGAAGGTGAACTTCCCATGAGACGGCGAACCTGGGCTGTCGACACCAAGGAAGTAAAGATCGAACTTATTCTCGGGAAATGTAAGCTTTTGGACAACGCTAAGGCCAAGAAGCTCGTAAAACTGGACTGTAAGAGGGTTGTTAAGTAAACCCACACGAAATGGTCAATGGTGATTTTACTTACTCGCACTTCTGGGATCCTTCACACGAATCCTATTAGCTTTGGGATAAGTATGCATAGGTCGAGTGAGCGGCCCAAGATGAACTCACATCGCATGATTCAGCTTGTAAGTCTTGGTATCCGTCTTTCGCTCCATGGTGCCGGCTCGAACGGTAGTTAGCGTGGCAAGGCTCGCAACCTGATTTGAGCCTCCTATCCAGGTCTTTAATACTAGAGGTACATGATTGCGTGCTCGTAGAAGGGATGGATGGAGCTATTCAGGCAACACATACCATTTTCGGTATGGTGAGTCTGGACCACCGTGGGACCAACATCAAGGGGTCCCCCTTCCTGATCAAGCATTCAGCTTATCTGTCAGACCCATAGAAAGCTTTGGAACGAGTCCAGTCCAGATAGTGTCACAAGCAGCGTAAATCTGACCCCGCATGGACTGGATACTATCACCCCGCAAAGAGTCTCCAATATACCATGGCTTGTCATAGAAACTTGGCATCGTCAAGAGGATGGCGCTGAAGCTTGTGATATCTTGGCACGTTATCGAAAGAGGGTATGAAGGACATCATTCAAATATGTAATGAGGGGCTAATCATTCGATTTGCTGTTCTCCGTTGCCACTCAATACTAATCCCCACGAAAGCAAAGGTATACGCAGAACATGTCCCATTCTATCCGAGGCAAAACAGCCATTGTTACTGGTGCTGGCAGTGGCATCAACCTCGCATTTGCTGAACAGCTTTTGAATGGCGGATGCAATGTCCTTTTTGCCGACCTCACTCTGCGACCTGAGGCTCGGAAGCTGGTGGACGCTTATTCTGGCGGAGTCGAAAGCAAGAGCCGAGCTGTTTTCCAGCAGACTGATGTAACTAACTGGACTCATCTCGAGCGAATTTTCGAAAGGGCAGAAGAGGAGTTCGGCGAGATTGACATCGTCTGCCCCGGCGCTGGAGTCTACGAACCGGTATGCACTCCAGGTCTCCTAAGTTAATTGTCACTGACCCAGTGATTATCTAGAGCTTTAGCAGCTTCTGGTATCCTCCTGGAACCCCACAAAGCAAGGATGCCCTCCACGGCGGTCGCTATGCCAGTATCGACATCAACTTGGTTCATCCTATCAGGACCGCTCAATTGGCGCTGTCTCGTTTCTTGAGATACGAAAAGAAACCTCGCACGATTGTTATTATCTCTAGCACCAACGCCCAAGACACCTGTCTCTCTACAGCGATTTATGATGCGACAAAACATGCGATTAGTGGATTCGTGCGCGCGATGGCCAAGATTGACCAAGTCGGCGTCCGTATCGCTGCAGTCGCACCAGGCATCATCAGGACGCCTCTCTTCATGGAGAACCCAGAAAAGCTTGCCATGATTGATACCAGCAAGGATGTTCTAGTAGAGCCGTCTGAGGTCGCTAGCGTCATGGTCGCTTTAGTTGAGAGAGATAGCATCTGCTCGACCATTGACCAAGCAAGTACAGGACCGCAGGACATCGAGATCAAGAGCGGGTCGATTATTGAAGTGACCAAGAACCGAGCTCGTATTGTCAGTGCATACCACGATCCGGGTCCTTCAGGTGCTGGGGCGGTTGGGTCCAACTTTGCCACTTCGGAGTACACTACGTTGGCTTTACTGTTGACTCCAGGATGGGGAGAACCTAGTGCAAAGGCGAGCAGTAATCTCTGATCAGATCATCAGAACAAATTTTATTTTTAGCAGAGTCTCGACCAAATTGATCCATATCAACACTCGTTAGTGCATGTATGGTCCAGTAGTGATCCCTGTGAACCTCAATTAAATCCTGATACTAAAGCAGTTGACACACAATCTCAGCTGCTGTTGGTTCGAAAACAAGGGGTTTCCAACGATAAGGTCAGTCGGCCAGCAGGATCATCACGTGTGCAAACTATCGGAGCTGCATCCAGTTTCCCAAGAGAGGCGGTTAGGTCGGAAGTTTGATAGGCGTCCATTCGACCGCCGGAACTCCGTCACTGCTGTGCTACATAAAGCCACTGGCGATTAGACAAGGTATGTTGCACTCGGTCTGAGGGGGTCGAGTCACGACGCAACAGCAACTCCGTCGACTAAATCGTCACCCGGCTAAAGATATCTCGATATCCTATCTAATTGACGTCCGTCTCCATGCGGCGAACGCAGATAAGTGGCCAAACCATAAAGGGGTTCGCGATGCCGCTACTCCCAGCAAAGTAAGTCCAGACTGTGCCATCCTAATTGTGCCTAGTGCAACGCGTGGGTTACACCAGAGACCGCGATCTCGCTTCATTTCCCCGCACGATAACCACTAACCCTGGAAAAGCTTATCTCGGCACTCTTGGCCTGGGGGAACTCCTTGGCACTCTTATCAGCTCGCTTGCAGTCTATGAACGTTTCGTGATGGGGTCTATTTAAGATATATCCCATCTTGTTGAACGTAGCTACTGTTGAGAGCAATAAGGACTCACATAGATCAAGACTTGGCAGTTTTCGCCAACTATTTTCGCCATGGCCGATTCGACTCCTCACCAGGTCACCGAAGGTCACTTGCGCCCGCGTCTCAGCAAGTTGACCATGGTCGCGATGACATTTGCCATTCTCAAGTAAGCAGATCCACATTGCCTTTAATAGCCAAAGACTCACTATACTGACTTCTACAGCACTTGGATCGCGTTAGGTGGCACAATTGGCATCGTCATGCCGTCTGGAGGCCCAGTCGCGCTCCTGTACGGCTTCATCTTCTGTGTTGCTTGCAATTTCGCTCTAGCCTTCAGTCTTGGTGAGCTTGCAGCTATCTGGCCAACAGCAGGCGGGCAGTATCATTTTGTGTACGCTCTCAGTAGTGACAGATGGAAGAGGTTCTTGGTACGCCCCCCTCTACAGTCGATAACGCTACGGGAAGCTAATAATCTTCAGAGTCTTTGTGCTGGCTGGATTAATATTGCTGGCTGGCTCACCCTTGTAACAACTGAAGCGATCTTCTCCGGTGACTCTTCCTTGCCAAAAGAAGTAGGCGCTTGTGCTAATTGGATTCAGCCATGTTTATTGCTGCCGCTATTGTCGTCGCGTCGGGGAGATCAACGCCAGTCGACTCTTGGACAACATACCTTGTCTTCCTTGCCATTATCACGTTTTCGACCATCGTGAACATCTGGGGCAATTCCATCCTTGGACCTTGGAGCAACTTCGCTCGTAAGTTTTCACTCACAAGAGCCTGAGACATAGCTTTCTAACAGTGTCATCAAGTCTACTGGTCAATTCTAAGCGTTGTCATCATCAGCATTATTCTGTTGTCCATGTCAGAAAAGACTAGCGCCGAGTTCGTTTTCACAACGTTCAACAACGAGACGGGATGGTCAGATGGGATGGCATGGCTTCTGGGTCTACTTCAATCCGCTTTATCATTGATTGGATTTGACGCGGTTTTGCACATGACTGAAGAAATGCCTAATCCCCATCTGGATGCCCCCCTTGCAATCGTCTATGCTATTGGTGTTGGTGGTTCTACGTGAGTATTGAGACCCTGACCAAAGCAATCTGCATGAAATACTGACCCCAACAGTGGCTTGATCTTCATCCTAGTCATCCTCTTCTGTCTGACTGATGTTGACAAGGTAGTCAGCTCGCCTACCGGTCAGCCCCTGATCGCTCTTTTCGATCAAGCCACGAACAGTCGAGCAGCATCTACCATCATCAGCTGCATGCTAGGGCTGTGTTTCATACACGGCACAAATGGATCTATCACCACCACAAGTCGATTGATATACTCCATGGCTCGAGATAATGGCTTCTTTTTCTCCCGATATTTCAACCACATCAACCCGAAGTTGGAGGTTCCAGTTCGTACGATCATCTTCACCTATATCTTCAACGTGCTATTTGGTGCCCTTTATCTAGGACCTACAGTGGCTTTCAACGCCTTCATCGCGTCTTGCACGATTCTTTTGAACATATCATACGCTTTCCCAATTTTCGTTTTGGTCATTCGAGGTAGAGGCATCCTCGCTCCGCATCAGCACCCTCATACGCCGTGGAAGCTTGGAAACTTCTGGGGATATCTGGTCAACTGGACAGCTTGTCTGTACGTTTCGGTAACTTCAGTGGTATGTTGATTTCCAGCGAAGTAGGACGAGTTACTAACTTGGAAACAGCTTTTCTGCTTCCCTCCATCGTTACATGTCACTGGAAACACAATGAGTACATATTTTCTGTCTCTTGTAATTACTCGTCTGCTTACATCATCACAGATTATGTTTCTGTCGTCATAGCAATCTGCTGCCTCGCCATTGCTATTTATTGGATTGCTCGCGGGAAGACCTTTGAGGGGCCTGTAAGTCTTCTCTCTCTAGTATGTTGGCCGAAACATGATGCTAATTGTTGGCTCAGAACCTCGAAACCATTATGGCGCAAAGAGAAGAGGTGGCTCATGCGCCTGGCCATGGCAGACGTGGCGAGAAGGAAGATATTCATGATCATTCTGTATCTGCCTAGATTATATAATGGGTTTCCCTTGATTGTTGATCTAATACTAGTCCATCTTGGATCGGCAGTCAAATATCATTTCTAAAATTTTAAAGCTGCGCTTGCTGAACAATGCAAAATACGCGAGTCTAGAATTAGCACTTATAAAAGACTCAAGCCAGCCCCCCAGCCTCATATCAATTGATTGGAAGCTGAACCATTTATACTGTAAGATTGAGAGGAAAAAAAAGGTAGTGCATAGAGCATTGAAGTCCTGCTAAAGACAACAGGCCGGCGAAGAGGAGAAGGTACAGGGTAGCAATGGTCGATTCTAAGGTTGTGGTTTAGCGTATTTCAGCCAATGAGATTCTCATGAGCCGAAAGCTATCTTGAGCTTTCCCTAAACGGAATATCTAGATTGCTTATCTCTGATAAGATAAAGCTTGCGGCAGAACTAATGGTTTATCAACTTGAAGAGATAGCCATAGTAACCCAGACTATTCTACTGTGTGTGGTGAAGTTGAATGGCCAAGAGCTTTGTAATACAACTCCCCCATATGCCGATTTTCCTCGATCGATTCTTTAGAAAAGGATCGACTGTTTCTTGAATAGTATAGATACTCTATTGCGTTATATGACAGAAATGCATCAAGAGCAATTAACAGATTAGAAGCAAATCACTTGTAACATCATAGAAAAGCCCTTTGTGCTTCATCATATTGACATTAATTACATATTGGTCCATTATAAACAAGCCTCAAAACGTGGGTGTAAGCTCAAAAAGCAATATACGACGGCAAAAAGGATTTTTATAAGACGTGTTCCTATCCAGGTTCTTGATTATCAACGTCTCCTTTCCCAATATAACAAGGGGTCCTCCCATCGACACGACAATGCCCCTAAAGCCATGTGATCCTTTTTAAACTGTCTTGCTTGCACCCTTCTTTGCATCACTTTTGCCGCGGATGATGGTCGAGAGATCGCCCAGAGGTAGCATGATGGGGAAGTCGACGGACATGAGCAGAATAGACATGAACATATACCAGCCGATCAATGATAGAGCGAACAACAAGCCCGCTCCAGCATGCTGGCACTTGAGCGCAAGATTAGCCTTCCCTTGAGAAACGGCAAAGAAGGCAGCGGCAAGGCAAGAGACTATTGGGAGGGTTAGTGAGTGCTGTATTTAAGGAGGACGTTGGACTTACAGCAAGGAACAAGCAGGAGCAAGATGGAGAACAGAGCGACGTTTGTTCGAATACTCGCGATAGAATATATTGTGCATAGAATGGCCATAGCAATCAGGAAAAATGCGAAAGTCGAGTAGAATTGAGGCTGCGTGAGACCATTTGCAGCGGTACCGTCGGTTGAATACGTGCTGTAGGCACCAGAGTCAGGGACGACAGTTGTACCGAATGCAAGCCAGAAACCTCCGAAGGTGAAGAAGACGGTCGACGGGAAGGTGTTTCCTGGAAGACTAACGTTAGCTGATGAATGACAATGAGTGAGAGTCAATTCTTACCGAGAATCCATTCACCAATACCTCCCAATACAAGAAGAACACCACCAAGGCCAAAGTAGGCACCACTGCGATCTATTAACTAACTTCTACAATCGAAAGGACGGCGGGACATACACGTTCGCAGCGGCAGCAAAGCCACCAGCTCCCTGCCATCCGAGTAGGCCCATGGATGCTGGCGTGGAGCACATCAAAAACCCAGCCAAAGCTAGACGCGTCAGTATCAAAGGCGCTGTTCAAGGCGATAGTACATACCGACTGGCGTAGGATTACCGAAGGTCTTTCGAAGGTCTCCCTTCACCCTATTCTGTGGCTGAAGATAAAGCTGCTCGAATAACTCTGGCGAGATGGGGATGCTCCGGGTTGGATGAACATGATCCAACTCTTCGCCTTCACTTCGAGGCTTGCCGTTGACGCTGTTACGGGGAGACATGTTGAGCTTGGTAGATGAGCAGACGCGTTCGTGTATGAGCTTGGTAGGGGAGGGTTATGAGAGACAGGGGAGCTCAAGCTTGATGACGACGAATATTGAGGGGAAGCTCCAATACTTTATAAGCTATAGCACAGCTACCAAAGAGAAATAGAGTTTCCATTCCCCCGGGTTGATGGTCTGGGGAAGTGGGCTCTGGGGAAGGCATGCGGAGATGTTACATTGGCTTGCAGTTAGATCCATGCACAAGCGACTGCTAGGTTCAGGCCAATCTCTAGATCGTCTGAAATGCCGGTTCGGCCTTGAAGTGCCGAATAAACGCGAACCTCCGTCACCTGTCGTCCATGGATAATTGGAGTCCGGGATGATGATCAAGCCCGAATACTCAAACAGACAGTGGTTTACATGACACGTTGGTCTGCAGCCATATCGATGATGAACATCAGGACGAGACACTCCAATGCGCTCTGGGTCTCATTGAATCATGAGGGAGACTTTGCTAGTTCTGAATCAAGGAAAGCTTCATCAAAATGACCAGGAATCTCAATTCTCCTCCTTGGCAAGATGATGCTTGGACATCAAAGTCCAAGCCTTTCGGTCGAGCGGCAGACTATATAAAGTGCAGACATGTCGATCAAGAGCTATACCAGCATTTTATGCCATTGTCTCAGCAAAAATAAGTATAGCCCAGTTGGTAAAGTGTTCGCGATAGTGTGATGACCAATGAACGCCATCATGAGCTGAATGCGGAGACGGGTCCGGGCTGCGGGATCACCTCCGCACTGCAACTCAACACGAACCAGTGATAGACTAGCGAGATGAAAGATCTCAAATGAAAGAATAGCTATGGAGATCGTGATACATGTGATAATTGGTCTGGTGATTAGATACATCTGGTTAGGTCGGTGTAGAAGACGGTGAGGGATGCGGACGGAGGTTGCGGATATCAAATTACCGAGATCTACCTGTCATGCTAGTCAGGTGTTGATACTACCCTGGGTGACAGTTCTCCATTCTGATGAAAGTTTGGGTGTTTATTTGCTAGTGATCCATGCATTGACGTACGCGCTTTGACGAGGAACGATACCACGTCAACGTTCAGATCGACAGATCAGCTAGATCCGGTGCCTTCAGCTTTGACATGTTCCCACTCACTGTCCTGAGTCGAAACTTCATCCTCTTCCGGGAGCTGTTTCTTCAGTCCCTCAAGAATAGTCTTCAAGCCATCCGACACCTTCGGGTTATTCACCTTCTGGATCCTCTGCTCCAGCTCCCTGATCTTATCTTTCAACTCTTGCGTTTTGATATCAGCCAGATCAACTACCCCAGCATCTTCCTCATCCTCCTCTTTAATCTCGTTCTTCTCTTCGTCTTGCCGTTCAAGACCGTCACCCCAAGCTTCCGCAAAAGCCTGCGCCATATTGTGATCCTTGATCGCAAACACAATCTCATCAACGTATTCCCATCTCTCCTTTAGCGGCTTTGACTTATCGCATCTTGGAGTTAGAACAGATTTCCAGATCCTTGCTATTTCACCGACGGGGTTTCCGTGCGCGCCGCAGCCCCAAGCTCCAAGTACAAGTCGTTTGGACTTTTTGACCATAGCGATTCGCATAACAGCCCTCATCTTGGCTTGCGCCGTATCACGATCCTTCTTGTTGGCGTATGATGCTACTCCGTCCTCGTCAAGCTCGAATTCCGGGCCGCGGATCATTGCAGCTGTGATGCAGTCGACATAGAATCGATCCTTCTTGTCCAGATCATTCCCGTCTTCATCTCTGAAGACCAACACCATCGGAGTCCAAATCGAAGAAAGTTCGGGGAGTCGGTACCACTCGTCCTTGAGAGAGGGATATAGCGTAGTGCGCATACACAATGACTCCTCTTGACTATTCGCACCATTGAGAAATCCACCTCCAGGATTCAGAGGCGAACCCATGTTCAAGATTGTCACATGAGCTCTAGTATTACCAAGATCTGTTTTGACGCCCGCCGGTGTCTCAATATCAAGAAGATCTCTTGCAGCAGTAAGCGTGTCGACTTCCCTGATTGAGATTCTTGGTGTGTTAAGCTTTTCCAAGCTCTCATGGGGATCCTCAGCGCCAACTGTAGCTTTGCCCTTTGTTGCTGCATCACCCTTGTCCTCATGTTTCTTCAAGAGTTTCCCATATGCTTCAGGCAAGACTGTAGTGTTCATAAAAGGTATGAGCTCTGCTGAATTGATTCCTTTCTGAGCACCGGGATACCCAGGGAGGAGGCTGGGGATGACCTTGTTGATGGTGGCTTTGGCCTTTTTGGAGCGTGCATCTTTGCGAAAAGCCGCTGGTGGTCGGCCGATAGATGGCTCTGTACGTCCCATAGTAATATTCTGCCAGTCGCGAATTTATTTGTGAGATGAAACTCAGAGTTTTTGCGACGTTGGTGACTCAGTTCGAGATTATCAATTAGGGCGCTTTCAGTGGACACCTTTTGGTTGGGGACCTTGATGAGCAGCGACCCAGATCAGCGTAAAACTACCTACAAAGGTTTTTTGGGCTTAAAATATATTTTGTGGCGATAAAGAAAGGGAATCGCAAAAATATTCGCCAAATGAAGCATCATGGAGACGTCAAATGTGCAGACTAGATGGTCGCCACTGATGACTGCCTGACCTCGTCACATGATCAAGACCAAAGTCCGTCTTTCGGCCGAGATCTTGAGTACGGAAAACACCAAGAAGCCGACAAACTTTAAACTCACGATACATGATACGATAATTCTAACATCATGATCTCGATGCAAGTTTGGGACATTGAAAGATGATTCATGATGCAAATTTTAGCCACGTATCCATGGCCTCAAGAAGCCAGTCTTGGCATTTGTAACAAAGACATGGAATAGATTAACTCATACCAAAATCACATGAAGTACCACGTCTCAATATTTATAATCGCTAATTATTCTTCAGCCCAGCAACATGTGATCAGCCTTGCCAGCACATGAGTAGACCCAATTCTATTTACGACCAAACCTCGGCCGGAGTTTTGGTAGGGAACGCACGGCAAATAGTGGACTGATCAGATCCACAGTCGGCTTTTCTCGTATCCATTTTCCCCTACAAACTCCGTCGGACATTTAAGCATGATTCCAACAGCCCAAGCTTCTTATCTCTAATTACCAAAACCCTTGTCTAGCACCTGTCAAAACCACGTTTCAGTGGATCCAGAGAAGAAGTATCGAAAATGTCGGCGCTGCCAGACTGCGATTTCCCGACCCCCCGGAGAGATTATGCAGACTTCGTCATCAAGATCTAATTACGTTCCTTGATACCCGCAAGATCGAAAGGTGTTAGACCCCCTTCTGCCCAAATCTGGATCTCACCACTCTCAAATCCGTCCTGTGACTCCGTAGTCACAGCAGAAATCACCTGTTGCTCACCCCGGCTTCGAGGCCCGCTCACCGGCGCTCCCGACGAAATGGAACCCCGATCTCGCCATATTATTATAAAGGGCTCGCCCTCCCGTCTTGGAAGTCCTTTTGAGGAATAGTATGAGCAATCATTGCAGATTCACAACAACATCATGTCTTCTAGGCCAGATTTGCCTAGCTCTTGTATGAGCGACGATGAAACACTACGACAAAAGACACCAGAATCGAAACCGCGACATAGCTCGTTGGTAAAACTTCTTTTTGACAGGACGAGAGTTGATCAAGCTGTTGAGAACCATAATTATCCTGGATCAGGCTCCTTTGAAGATCCGTTTGTTGTTAGCTGGATTCCTGATGATACAGGTAACCCACTCAATTGGCCCAAGTGGTTGAAATGGACCATCACAATGGTTTCAGCCGCAACATGTTTTGCTGTCGCGTTTAGTTCTAGTGCCTATACAGGTCAGTCTTATAACCCTCGGCAATCGACATAGCTGACATGTTATATGACAGGTACTATTGTGCCGCTTATGATTCATTTCAAGGCCAGCCATACACTCATCACTGCTGGCGTCTCCCTCTACGTCCTCGGTTTCGCTGTCGGGCCTCTACTCTGGGCACCGCTTTGCGAAATCTACGGTCGACAAATTATCTTCGTTATCAGCTATGGCTTGTATGTTGTCTTTAGTGCAGCATGCACAGCAGATAATGGCGTCGCTACCCTTCTGGTCCTTCGCTTCTTCTGCGGAACATTTGGCTCATCACCTCTGACCAATGCTGGCGGTGTTATCTCTGATATCTTTAATGCTGACGAGCGTGCTATCGCTATGGCATTCTTCTCTTTGGCGCCTGCACTGGGTCCCAGCTTGGGTCCCTTCATTGGTGGATACTTGAGTGACGGTCAAGGCTGGAGATGGGTAAGTCACCCAAGTCCTTGGTTCCGACATCATACACTAACCAGAGTTTCCAGGTTATGGGATTGATGGCCATTGTTGCCGGATTCTTCTGGGTACTCGACATGTGCTGCGCTCCCGAAACCTATGCACCTTACATCCTTCAGAACCGAGCCGACTTCTTGTCCAAAAAGACTGGCAACGTTTACATCTCCATCTACGAACACCAAGGCAAGGCCGATCCACCAGCCGTCGTTCTCAAGAAGGCCCTCATTCGTCCTTGGCAACTCCTATGCTTCGAACCTATCGTCCTTCTTCTCTCCATCTACGTAGCTATTCTTTTCGGAACCCTTTACATGCTGTTTGGCGCATATCCTGTCGTCTTCCAGCTTGAGAGGGGCTGGTCTGCTGGCAAGGGAGGTCTGGCCTTCCTGGGAGTTGCTGTCGGAATGATCAGTGCCATTCCTACGATTGGACTCATCAACATATGGTATATGAAGGTCACGAAAAGGTTCGGCAACGAACCTGTACCTCCTGAATACCGTCTCCCGGGATGTATGCTCGGCGGTATCTGTGTCCCTGCTGGCATGTTCTGGTTCGCATGGTAAGCTCAGGTCTTGTTACAGTCAACATCTCCACTAACAGTTGACAGGACATCATATCGTTCAGTCCATTGGATGTCCCCAGTAGCCGCTGGTGCCCCCTTCGGTCTCGGCATGTCTCTCGTGTTCCACAGTATCTTCAGCTATCTCATCGATTCATACACCATCTACGCTGCCTCGGTCCTAGCATCAAACGCCGTGTTGCGATCTCTATTTGGCGCCGCCTTTCCACTTTTCACTAAGCAGATGTACGACAACCTAGGAACACAGTGGGCCAGTACAGTCCCCGCCTTTCTGTCACTTGCTTGTCTACCCATGCCATTCATCTTCTTCAAGTACGGTCCTGCTATTCGACAGCGATGCAAGTATTCTGCAAGGGCCGCACAGGCGTTGGCTATGGCAAAGAAGGGCTAGATCTTGAGGGTTTGCCATATTATTTCTTACTAATTTCTACTTAATACTGTGTCTTGACATTAATGGACCAAAAGCGGCATATGGAAGGAGTTATTGAATCACCTTAGACATAGAATATTCACCAGTCATAGATTATACAGAGCCAACTCAAGTTTGAACTTTTTTCTCTCCATTATGCCTAACGGGGCTGAGTCTTCCAAGCCTGCAGCTTCAATTGGTGGAATTCTTTTAAGTCAGCACGGCATGGGCAACAACAATTTTAAATCAGGCTGTGTTGAGAAGGCCTTTTCCCTCAGCTCACCTCACTTGTTCCCACCCACCAAAAGATCGAGTGCCCATCCGCGATGGATCCTGTCACGGCCGTTGGCCTAGCGTCTGCCATCATTTCCTTTGTCCCTTTGTGCGTCAAATTACTACAGAGTGCGCGGGAAATTCGCGACTCTCTCGACGGTAGCGTCGAAAAAAACCTGACGCGAAAAGCTATAGTGGATGAGATGAAAGCCCTTTCTCGGAGACTTAAATCAGCAGATCAAGCCAGAGTCCTACCCGAGCAGAGGGGTCTTTACGACCTCGCCCTAAAATGCCACGAGTTATCGCAGAAAATCCTCGACCTCCTCGATAAGATAAGACCCAAAAGTAAGAGCTCTTTTGAGAACTATCGGTCTGCTTACAGGGCTTGGAGTTGCGAAAGCGAGATTAAGAATCTGGAGAAGCAGCTCAACGACTGTCGGAGTCAGTTGGCATTGGGCATAGTGGATCTTTCAAGGTATCAGATTCCCTAAATCCTTGTCTTCATCCGTTACAGGATCTCACAGTCGCAAATAGTCAAGACTTGGCAGTGTACTCGAAAAGGATTCTAGCCATGGCCCAAACCGATGCATCGCGACTAGAAGAACTTCAAAGGCATACAGAAGCGTTGAGGAGTGGCGTGCAAGTCGAGCAAATCGGGACCGAAGCCGGTACTCAACTACGCCGTCTTCTAGGTCTTCAGGATGATGCTCTTGCTGCCATTTATCAGAATCGAATTCTTGAAAGCATTAAATTCGAGAACATGCACGAAAGAGATGACAGAGTTCATTACCCTCATGAAAAGACTTTCAACTGGCTGATAGAAGATGATGAGACCCTCGAGAACGAGGCAACGGGGATGAGCAAGTCCGAGACCCTTGACATGCATGAGATGAAGTCGAAATCAAGGGAACTTTTCATGAATTGGCTGTCTTCATCGGAGGGCATCTTCCATATCTCGGGCAAACTGGGCTCAGGCAAGTCCACGTTGATGAAACTGCTTTGCACACATGGGCAAACTCGACTTGAATTTGAAAAATGGGCAGGTAAGTTCTCACTTACCCCGAGCTTAACCTGAGATGGTAAACTTATTACTCGTTGTAGGGAATAGATCCCTCCTCATCACCCAGTTTTTCTTTTGGACAGCCGGAACCGAAATGCAAAAGTCTTTGGATGGTCTCTACCGCTCTCTTCTCTACGACATACTCCACGCCTTTCCTGAACTTATCAAAAATGTCTTACCAAATATTTGGAAGGAGGTCGAGACTAGCCCTTGGCAGATACAAACTAAGTTTGACTTGCCGATCGATGTTGCCAAGTCTGCCCTTGAACAGATCATTTTCAACAGCGAATCGTGCGCTCCTCGGGTCTGCTTCTGCTTCTTCGTTGATGGCATTGACGAGTACGACGAGTCACATAGCAGAGATCATATTTATCTTGTAAGATTGTTAAGACACTGGGTCAAAGACTCTGAAGGGAGGTTGAAAATGGTTGTTTCCAGTCGAGACTACAACGTATTCCTGAACGGGTTTTCGGCGGATTATCGGCTCCAACTTCACGAACTGACCTGGTTTGACATGAGACAATATGTTCAGGATTCATTATCTCACCTTCCAAACTCTACCCTCAAAGAGCATTTACTTACAACTATTCCAAGGAAAGCATGCGGTATCTTCCTCTGGATAGTTTTGGTGGTTAATGAGATCCGGAAAAAGTTCGAGGATGACGTGACGCAGGATCAATTAATTCAACTCCTTGACGGTCTTCCACCTGGCTTGGAAGCGTTGTTTGAGCATATCCTCAACAGACTCGACGAAAACAACCGAAGGACTGCTTATCAAATCATGGCACTATTGAGAACTGCCAATGATAACTATCTGACCCTGTCTCTGATGGAGTTTTCGTTCCTTGAAGATTATCACAGAGACTCGGAACTCTCGATACGAGACGAGTTTATGTCTCGCTACGCAACGGATTCAGATGTCAGTAGAACACCAGAGATTTATGGCAAAAGGCTTCGTGGTTGCTGCGGTGGTCTTGTCGAGTGTTACCCATCCAAACCAAACTATTACGGCCCTTGGGGAGTCCTTAGCTTCACACACAGATCTATTCCCGACATGCTTGAGAGACCAAAGATCAAAGCAGAAATGCAGTCATACCTGAAAGATTTTAGTAGCGTTGACGTACTGTCTTACTTGATCTTTGCGGCAGCGCGATTCCTGCGGAAGGATAAGACAGAAGTCAAAGACTCATGCGCTAGAGTAACATGGATGCGTCTGGAAGCCAGGATTGATAGACCACCGTATCGATTTCTGCAGTATGTTTCGTCATGGGTCGGTGATCCTCTCGACCTGAAACCTGAACCAAGCTATCCTCTCTTGCACCAGGGTATCCAGGTATATGTCAACCGTGGACGGCAAAGCTTGGATCGATATGGGGTAATTACAGGACTGGAGACATTCAGTGTCCTATGTCAGGCTGCACTCATAGGCCATATTGAGTACGTTGAATGGTTTTTAAAGAATAACCTCGAAGCTATCGACAAGTCATGGAAGAGGTCTCTTATTGGCAACGCACTTCTGCAAGCCTATATTCGAGTTGGTCTACCTATACAGTTGTTGAGCTATTTCTTCAAGGGCCATTTCCTGTCGCTTGAACGAATTCCGTTCGAGGCCAAGAACCTTCTCCTTGATGGCAACCCTCCAGGAAGTCTTACCGTCGGCCCCCGCTCGTCTATTGCCTATGACTATGCACTTTCAGACGACCACACCGTTTGGGAAAGAATCTTATTTTATTGTTTCCTAGGCTGGGTTGGCATGGCATATCCGTTCCATACCGATCGATTTTGTCTTGCTGTTGAGCAATTCCTATTACACGGAGCCCCATCTGAATTTCATATCGTCATCGAGCCTCTGCGCTCTCCCACTCAAGTCACGTTTCACTTTCCCAAGACCAAAACTCCTTTGACTTTTGAGTGTGAGAGCAATAGATCTACTAGCGAATTCTTGATTGAAAATGTCACAGGTTGGGACGAGTGTGATGGAAAGCTGAGCTTATCACTTCTCCGATGGATACAGAGCGTGAACCCTAAAAATAAGGCTGCTATAATCGATATCCTCGAGACCGCCAAACAGTGTTCTCCAGGATCAAAACAACTTGAAACTGCCCCTCTTGTGGCAGGTGGAATAGCTCAAAGGGCTACAGAGCACATAGACATGACAAGACCTAGCTTTTATCGCCATATGCTACTTTACAAACTCTTTCCAGGTGGGTTGGAGGTCATCGATACCAACGCAAGAAAGTTTTAACTAATAAATCAGCAGTCTTGGCAATAGTATTGGGACTTTATGTTGGCTGGAAATCGCGTGACGAGCAAAGAGAACACCAGAAGGCTGGGGTCACTTTCCCATGCTATGGTTGATAATGACCTTTGTTTGAGCATAACACCGAATCACTGGTACATAGTCTTGAGAAAGGGAACATGGATGTTTTACTTAATTAACCTATCTGGTGTCTTTCAGAAGTCCTCAGCAGTCAAGCCAACATTCTTCACCTTGGCCAGACGAAGAAGCTCTTGACCAATCGAGAGATCCATAACACCAGTACCGACACTCTTGTAAATAACAAATCCACTTTCAAGCCACTTGGTCAAGTCATTCGGGTTCTCGGTGTTTTTGGTCTGGAACAAGTGACCGATCTCAAGCATTTTATCCGTAGGGATCTCGGCTTTGACGAGTTCTCCAGCCTCTTGCAGGCAGCCCTCCCGACTGTCGACTGCAACGGATCCACCCTGATACCCCACAGATGAAAAGGGCCCTGATGGGTTGATGACTTGCTTCAGAAGCTCGGGGTCGATTTCCTGCATGTCAAGGCGGTAAGAACCGATCGCCGCGAGATACCGAGTCTTGCTCAGAGCCTTCTCGGAAGTGAGGTATGATGCCGGGAACAGTGGTTCCGTGCTTGGTGTTGTAAAGAACAAGACATCCGCATCTACAACCAAAGCCTCCATAGCGACGTCACGGTCTTCCTTAGGATCAAAGGCCTGGAGGCTGATGTGCGACGGCCATTTCGATTGATCGTTAGACTTGAGCGAGTCTATCAACTGCTGAGTCCTTTCCGCAGAGCGGTTGACAATGGTCACAGATTTGATATCCTCCTCCTTCAACAGGAGTGCCAAGCGAATGTGCCATAGCGCTTGCTTCCCCGCACCGAACACCACGATGTTCTCTGTGTTACGCCTAAATCGATAAGGCAGCATTGAACCCAGCGCAGTTCGGAACGCGGTGAGAGCGGCTGCATTGAGCGTTCCTATGGCCTGACCTCTAGCGTCGCACAGAGTCAAGACACTCTTGAGACCTGCTTCAGAAGGCTTGAGCTTTTCGCTTGGGGTGACACCGACGATCTTGACACCGATCAATTGGTCAGTAGTTCCGGGCATGAACAGGCTGACTTGGCCATCCCGGTTGACGACTGCACGGTGAGGTTGGTACTGCTGTTCATTGTTGCATGAGTATTGAATGAGAGCCTGCTCCAGAGCGTTTGCGAGATCGGTCACGTCAGATGGCGATAACGTGTCGAGGATGTGATTGACGTTGGCGTCTGAGAGAACTGTGAAAGGCATCTTGTAGGGCTATTTTTGAGGGTATTGGTAACGTGAGATGGGAAGCAGTCGCTGGTGATAAGCCGGACAAGTTGGAGTTGGAGTTGGAGATCTTTATTAATGCCGCTATCGGACACGGCCTCTATCGGCTCTGGCGGGGTCAAGCGGGGAAGCCAAGGCCCGATCGGGGCTGTCACTGAATCCCATCGCGAATGCTTTCCTATCTCAATTTCGCGTAAACGAAAGATAGACCATTGTCTTGTACATGTATTAGAGTTATGGTTTATGGGGAATCTGACTAATTGACCACTATGTGTATCTCTTATATAAAGTGCGCTGTCAGACTACTCTCAGGCCAGGATCCCATTGTTCCCCTTCTCGTCCCTCTCAGTGATGGAAGAATCACTTTGGGCATTTTGAACTACTTCAGGCTCACCTTCAACTGGGCCCTGGCCTCTCAGGCCCCGATAAACTGTCTTCAACTGAGGCCAACCATCAATGATGGGGTAGAAGCCTGCGACGAACATGGTCCCCCACACCCAAATAATGGCGATAACAATCCAAGCAACGAAGAAAGTCTTACCAAAGACGTATTTAGCTGCGTACATCGGAAGAGGCCTACGGTTTCACCTATTAGTCGACGTTACAATGAGATGGGGATAAAGTGCCTCTTACCATAGAACCCAATGTCCCAAGAACGTAGCGGCGGACCAAATCGCCGCAAGAGTGCCCCAATGTTTGAGCTTGGCCTTATCGGCGGTGTAGCTGGCTACCTTTTGTTCGTGCGTCCTCACTTCTTCTTTTGTTGAACCAACCTGGTCAAACGCAAGACGTTCATTTCTGAAGTCAGCCCATTGGTAATTGGCAGGCTTTATGAGCGAGATCACGACTGAGTACAGCGCTGGGCTCAAAGCTGAAGCGACAGTTCCGTACACGCAGGGAAGAGACTTTCCAGTGGATGCAACGGTGACTTCACCGTACAGTGACGATGCTGAGCCAAGCCATACAGCGATGCCAGTGGCCATGCCCAGAAGAGGCGAGACAATAGCAGCAATCTTTGACTGTTTTCGCCATAGAATCGTAAAGACAGTTGGGAAAATACCGGGGCATGTCAAAACACCAAGCATGTACAGAGTCCATCCAAGGTCAACCTTTCCATAGTAGAGGGCGGTAGAGAAGGCGGCGGAGAAAAGACCGAAAAAGACGACACCGATGTGACTCCACCGAATAGCGTCACGATCAGTTGCCCCACGGTTAAAGTACTGGCGATAGATATCAAAGCTGATGATGGATGACACGGAGATGACCTGGGCGCTGATAGTTGAAGTGACAGCCATGAAAGTGATCAACAGAACAGCGGCAGCACCGCCTTTTCCGGCGATTGCGATCGCGGCGTAGGGAAGAACAAGACCATTGGAGATCTCTACAGAAGACATGCGACGAGGGTAGGTAGGAAAGCGAGGAGTATCCTCAAGAGCTAGAGCGGAAAAGCTCATCAAGGTGCCGAGACACCACGGGATGGCAAAGTAAGCGATGCCGCCGATGATGTAGCCTGGGACAACAGCTTGAGGCGCAGCGCTAAAGGCTTTGGCGAAGAAACCAGTGTCCATGATGACGAGACCAAAATTAGCCAGCACATGAATGATACCGAAGTATATAGCCTACATTTTGTAAGCGAGTGTACAATGATGGTCAAGCAGTTAACTCACGTCTTTGCTAGTCATTGTCAAGAAAGATCCATCGTGGTTGCCGGCGACAGGATGGTCCTTTCCAACCTGAACGATCAGATCATACAGACCACCAGGTGATCCAATCTCGGGGACAAGGAAAGCCTTGATGGTGAAGAAACATATGATGATAGTGATCACAAAAGTATGGAAGTAATCAGTCAGGAAGGTCGCTTTGATGCCGCCAACAAAGGTATACAGCACCACGCCGACAGGTAACAAGAACGTAGCGGCGATGATATGGATACCAGATCTGATCGAGTAAGTGAACCGCTCAATATGTAAGAGAGCAGACTTACAAGGCAGAGATCGCAGCACTTGCACCCAGCAACATGTTTGCAATAGCGATGATGTTGTTGATCAAGCATAGGCCAATCCAGACAATATGGCCCGAGGTACCATATCGTATACGGACAATCTCGAGTAGGGTATGCGCTTCGGGTACTCTGAGCTTACAGGAGATACCAAGTAGAGCGAAGAAGACGATCATGGGTGAGCATCTGATAAGGGTCAACAACTACCGAAAATAATCGCGGAGGCAGGGTGCATACCCAGCTGCAAACCAGAACGGCCCAGCGACACCAAAATTGTATCCAACAAGAGTACTTCCAAGCATAGCCGTACTCCAAAGCCAAGACGAAATAACAGCAGACGAAGTTAAACCAGTGCCAACACTTCGATTGGCTGTCATGAACATCTCAGTTGTCTTGTTATCTTCGCCGACAGTCTTCTTCAAGATATGCGTCAAAAACATCATGATAAACGCGATAAGGAAACCAATCGCGATAACGACGACATAGCCAACGGCTTGAGAAAGCGGTGGCTCAATGCCATTCTCGCTTGCATCTGCTCGAACGTGAAGCGACATTTTAGCCAAGAGCCTTGGGGATGTGAAAGATCCAGCAGTTCGGTTTGACGTCTCGGCATTCTGAGCTTGGGGGTCCGTGTGATAGCTTTATGTTTGGCGATCGGCAGGCACGAATCCATGTCGTTTGTATAGCTTTGATGATGCAATGGGCTATCATTTGCTAGATAACTGCCGGGCACCAATCTGATGAACCGTGGAGGCCAGCGGGGGATCTCATTAGTTGATGGAGTTCCGCCAGACCGGATATCTTCCGAATTCCGGGATCTAGTCCCTTCTTCCTTCTAAACTATATCATTATCGGTATGCTCTGGACATTTTAGGCCCGTGATAGGCGATAGGGGCACTGTTCACATGTTCATGGGGTATGGCGTGAGAGCTTCTAACGATGGCGATAGGGCCAATCGCTGTCACGTCATTGAGCAATTATTTGAGAAAAAGCGGAAGAATATTATCCCCTAACTTATCTATCATTTAGCTTATTCCGATGCGACAAATAAATAATTGCGCTCCAGATTGCAAAATGTGCCCTCGTCAGGTAGTGAAGACAGCCATTCCATGGGTGTTGCACTCAGCTAGAATATTGTGACGAAAATTGGCAAACCAGAGGACGCAGTGAGAATTGGGAATATTTAATACCTGAGGCCACAATACAGCAGTACAGACTATTATTGGATGACTTTGCATAATCAGGCTGTGATGTGCCGCCAAGAAGACCATGATCTTACAATTTCCCCTCGTCATCATTCCAGGCTGACTCTGAGGCTGTGCTGAGCATCCTGTGGAATGACAAATCATCCGAGCTTCATCTTTCTGAACTCACTGGTCGGTCTATTTTCGATTCCTAGGATTTCCCTCCAAATCCCATACTTTTCTTATTATGGATCCCGTCTCAGCGATCGGATTAGCGTCTGGGATCTTGACCTTCGTTGAAGCAGGTCTCAAGCTCGTAAAAATAGCCTACAACATACACAACTCTCTGGATGGTGTCCTAGACAACAACAGACACCGCGAAAGTGTCACCAGCGAAGTTAGCAAAGCAGCTTTGAGGCTTGAAGTGGCAGGCAACGCCCGTTTGACTCCCGAGCAAGAGTCACTTTCGGATCTTGCCAAGAAGTGCAAGGCGACTTCAACGGAACTAGTCAAGGCCTTGAATGAAGTCAAACCAAAGCGGAGCTCATCCAATCCCTTCAAATCGTTACGATATGCCGTCAAGACGAATCTCAAGGCAAAGGACATAAATGGCCTGGAGAACCAGTTGAAAGACTACCGTGATCAGCTCATTCTCGCACAGGTTGAATTCTCAAGGTAAACATATTTCGCTAGTCATGAGAGAGGCTGTAGTTAACACACTCCTAGAGTTGAGGCAGCAGATGGCTTCAGTGAACTGATCTCACTTGCCAAAGAGAACGAGGCTACGTTGAAAAGTTTGACTCAGGCCATAGAGCACCTGCGCCAATCACAAATTTCCGCGCCTGATTCTATTTCCAACACACATGCTTGCAGCCAGTTTCAGCGGCTACTGATGGTCGACGACGAGACCCGTCGAGCAATGTATCAAGATCGAGTTCTGGAAAGCCTCAAGTTCGATGAGATGCATCAGAGATTTGACGCAGTTCACAGTGCTCATGAAGATACGTTCAAATGGATTTATGAGCCGATTGAAACTATTGAGGAAGATGATGACTTGTCTCTCGAGGATGACAACTGGTCTGACGTGGAGGAGCATGGCTTGACCTACGAGGAACGAATACGACGAGAGGCGCTTAAGGTATTGGCAGAAACATTGCATCAACGGGCTGAGCTGACGGTTGTGCGCTCCATAGATGCAACTCGAATCAAGACAGAAATTCTTAGGGTGGCTCTTATCAGAAGAGACATTATCGCCAGTTTTCCACATTTTCGGAAAGTTGGGATCTGGAAAATCAACACTGATGAAGTTTCTATGCTCTCATCAGAAGACAGAATAGTCACTAACTAAATGGGCTGGTAAACGATTCTTTCATCTTATATGACACCCCCAGCTAACTTATTTGTAAGGTACAAAGAAGCTAGCATTCACTTCGTTCTTCTTTTGGCGGAATGGCTCAAAGGCACAGAAATCACTGGAGGGACTTTGTCGCTCAATACTTCACGACGTACTTCTAGAAAGGCCTGATCTCATACCCGAGGTCGTTCCTGGCCACTGGAATCAAGCGAAACAAACTCCCTGGAAGGTTGACAACCGTCAAGAAATCCCATCGTCTGTCATCAAGGATGCTCTGGGAAGACTCCTTCAAAACGATAAACTGTACCAGCAACACAAGTTCTGCATCTTTATTGATGGCCTCGACGAGTTTGAGCCTGGTGTTCAAGATGGATTGGATTACATTGACTTAGTCAATGTCCTTAGGCAATGGACGATTCATGCCGGCGGGAACCTAAAGCTCTGCCTTTCAAGTAGAGAAGAAGGTGTATTCATGGATGAATATGCTAGTGACCCTAGCTTCCGGCTCCAGGACTTAACCAGATTCGATATGCAAAATTATGTCCGCAGTCGCCTGAGCAACCTAAAGGATGAAAACCTAAAAAGCGACCTGGCTACTGAAATTCCTGAGAAGTCGTCAGGGATCTTTCTTTGGACCTATCTTGTTGTGAAAACGATACGCAATAAAATGACACACAGGGCCACCAGCGAGACGTTAAGGAAACACCTCAACACTTTGCCTAGAGGCCTCGAGGCACTCTTCCATCATATCCTTCAGCAACTTGAGCCGGATGATGCGAGAAAGACACTCCGAATTATAGATTCTCTCCAAACTGCCAAATCGAACTATATCGAGCTGCCACTACTCGCATTCCCCCTTATTGATAGATACGATAAAGATAAAGAGTTCTCGTTACGCAAAGGTCTTGAAGATGAGCCTACCCCAGACGAGATAATACTCCAAGCACAACTTCGTGGTGCCTGCGGTGGCCTGATAGAATGCCATGAGGGTAATCAGTATGAGAGATTGCAGGTTCTTGAGTTTGTTCACCGATCAGTCCCCGACATGTTCTACAAGGATACAAAAGGCTCAGAGTTCTCTATGCAAATGGAAGCTGCCCTTGATGGTACGAATACTATTGATGTTGTCTCTCATCTTTGCTTTGCCACTTTCCGGCTTTCGGGGCAAACAGGAACAGGCGACCTAGAAAGGTCTGTCTGCCAATCGATAGTACTTATGCGATTCGAAGAGAAAATCGACAAGCCACCGTACTCCTTCCCGGAGTATATTGGTTCATGGGCCAATGATAGGTGGCTGGACGACAATCAGGCAAAGTGGCAATTCTTCTTTTCTCCCTTCGCCGGGAGTTCATATCTATACATCAGACCTTATGGAGCGCCGGCTATCGGTAGTAACAACCCGAGACAACTCTATAACACTATGTGTCTTGCAGCGCTTTCTGGTCATATCGATTACATTGAGTGGAAAATCGTTAATGATGCAAATGCTTTGAACAACGCGGCCAAGAGAGCCTTTGTTGGTCATTTCATTCTCATCTCGAAGCATTGGGAAATGTTTTTCGAGAAAAGCATCTTTACAATGGATCCCAGAATACCCCTGGTTCCATCCATCGCAATACAAGATTGGAGTAAATGGGTGGTGCCGGACCCAGTTACCTTGTCGGCCTGGCAATTCTTCTTGACCTATATCATTTTGAACGTTGGATCGTATTTCGGCGTCGCTAGGGACGATGGAAACGTCATAGAACGATTTCTAAGACAAGGGGCTGACTCACATTGCCGCATCCTGGTTGCATATGAAGAAACCAGAATAAACATGACAATTTGTTTTCGAGAATCAAGGACTTGTCATGTCATCCCACGCGACCCTGTGTGGGTTTTATTCGATTACAGTGTAAAAAAGGTCATTGGAAGATGCTTGACTTTGAGGGGAAAGCCCCTAGTCGACTGGGGCAAGAACTTCACAGAAGAGTTCTTACTTCGGGAGTGGATTGCATGTACCGACTGGCCTAACAAGGACACGTTATTGGAATTGCTGGACTGTAATTGTGAGTAGTTGCTGCTAGAGTCTTAGCTTTAGAGCAAACCATTTTCGCTGATACGCCCGCCTCACAATGTTCGCCGCGTTATGAAATCCCGGATGTGCGAAATGCTCCTTTTGCTTTCTCACTCTGCTCTGAGGCACTGATAAAGAATCTTGAGAGATGGTCTCGTACTATGAGACAATTGTCATACCTCTCCCCAATATACTGCGCCCTCGTGTTTCCCAGCTCATCTCCCTGTGTGATCTGCAAACAAAGAGGCGGGCTGAGCTCCCCCGATCCTGCCGTCTCGATGCCCCAAACAGAGCTCGTCCTCTGAAACTGGCGTAAAGTGATCGACACAGGGATGCAGCTAAAACCGGTACTTCGCAGCTCGAAGCGGTGGCTACGAACGCCATGTTGTGGGGTACTGCAGATCTTGTCTCACATGCCGTCCAATGTCGACAATTCTTACGTCAATATTGATCAGTCCTGGTAATGTGGAGCGAATGAAATGAAACAGGGAATAAGGTTTTCCAATAGTTCAGCTCGTTCAGCTACAGCCTCTTCGGGATTGGTCTGACCAACGAGAGACGAGAGGTGAAGACAATGACATATACGATCTTCTGTGTAGCCCACTTTCTAGCTCCAGATGTTGATCTCGGGCCGCTCTTTGGGGGACGTCGAAAATCGGTAAAGCAAAGTCAATTACTTCTCACGCGAGCAGATACTTTACTTGACGTTATGCCCATCCTAGATTGAGCTTGGACACCATTTCGAGTTTCTTAATATCATCAGCAACTATGAGATACAACAACGTCATCAAGCCAAGGCTACCAAGTAATAATAGGTGCCCTTATAACGATAGCCCTATGTCGAAATGGCAACTTGGCTCCCTCGATCCATTATCGCCTGTATATGCAAGGTCTCGAAGGGAGCGAGCCAGAGCACCAACACCCATTGAGCATAACGGCCATATATATGATCTAGTTGGCGTGAACTCTCACCAACAGCTCATCCTACGAGATCAATGCGCGTTACACCTGGACATTCGTATCGAATGTTTCGCTGGACGTGCCGCCATCTGGGACGGTGTGCCATGGCAAGTCGATTACCTAGAGGCCATTCCCGATCCCCTAAACTTCACCAAACCGCCCCGGCGTGTCCTTCATCTCAAGCGATGGACTGAAAAGGGTCAGATACAGAAAGCCATTGACGAACCAGACAATCTTCGAGCAATTTTCCCAGGCTCAAGAGGAAAACATATGCTCGGCCCGATTAAGCATGGCATTGTACGCATGATCCCAACCGCATCTCGACAGAGAATTCAGAAGCCATTGCTTCCTGGGATAACTTTCGAAGCTCGGTTACGAGGTCGTGAGCTTTACGGCCCGTTCCAGATCGAGGCCAAGAAAGATGGCCAACTGGTAGCCAAGCCCGTTCTGGACGGATTCTGTCTTATCAAATTCACCATTGAGCCCCATGAGATAGCGCCCTCATATGTAAGGGTCAATTGTCCTGACTTTGGTGGTTGCTTCGACATCGACACGTTTCTTTACTGCGAGGATAAGCTTCGATGTCGGGCTACCAGTGTCAAAGCAATCAGAGCGATGAGATTACCCACGAGCGATCGCGATCCTATGTTCGGGACGCTATCACGAGGTCCAGTACCACTTCTCACCAACGGTTTGGACCATCTTGTCGTCTTTGAGAAGTTCATCCGAGACTGCACAATCCCTTCTCCAAAGACACCTCAGCAACAGCGATTGACAATACTCAACCTGTCGATGTGCGATCAAGGTGACGCCAAGATCGTAGTCGACGCGTTAATTGACTTTCGAGAGCAAAATCCAGATGCAATCATGTCTGTCGTGGTATCGAAACTAGGACCTACGATTTATCAAGATACACCAGCCTGCAGGGAGTATGTCAAGCTTCTTGAGCGCAACCGAATCCACATCGATATGTTCACTGGCGTTGATGGTCCAACGCGCCAAGTCGTTCACGCCAAAGCGATAGTAATCGACGACAGGACACTCTTCAGCACTGGTGCCATCGTAGATACCAAGCCAATTGACAAGGCCGACTTTTCCATCGAGCTTCCGCCCACGGCAGCCAAAGCTTTTCAGGTCTACATGCAAGAAGCCATCCTTGGTGGCGTGAGCAATGAGCGTCGCGCTCATCTTGGCTCACAGCTCGCTAGCCTAGGCGTCATAATAAATGACCCCATCGCGAGTTTGACCTACATCAGTCGCGCGCAACATACACTTCTCCGAGGTGCTCGTCGCGACCTCCTCGTCAGTGTTTCAGAACTCGTTGATCCTAAAATCACGAAAGTCTTGGTGAGACGGGCAGCCAACGGCGTGACGGTAACGATACAAGTCCGTGAAATAGACGCGGTATCATCAAGAATTCTTACCCAAGCGACGCGACGCTACGGAAAGCGGCTGTCCGTTGAGGATGTCAGCTGGTGGGAGCCGCGCCCCCATTACAACGCGATCATCGCAGATGACAGTCTCGCGTATCTCGGCACATCGTACTTCTGGCCAACACAAAGAAACATGATTCATCAAGGTCGATCGCTTGAAAATGGGGTCTTGCTTGAAGGAGAGGCTGTGAAGGTTTTGAGGGAGCAACTGGATGACCTGCGTGACCGTGCGTGTAATAATAGTGGCAAAAGCGACAGTGATATAGCGTAGCTAGAGATTGGGTCTCTCCATGCCTTGCAATTTTCTCTCATGTTGTTGGATGTTGTTTGTTAGAAGGGGAGTGTCGGGACACATCTTCGTCAGCCAATCAACGTCTCGCTCATCATCTGGAGATTGAGTTTAGCGTATCAGTTTCGATTCAATCATGACAAGGACAAAACGAATAACCTGAAGCGTAAAAGCGCATAAATACCATGAGAATGATTAGTACGGTTAATTAAATTATGTTGGCTGTCATTATTTACAGCTATGTCAGTATCTTGGTGTCAAAACCATTAAGCATTGCTCCATTTTTAAAGCGTAATAACCGCTTGAGAAAAAATGACCGTCCAACATCGTCAATTGCGTCGTCCTTGGTCTGTCAGTGCCTCCAAATTGCATTACACTGCAGTTCAGTACTCCTGGGGACCTAAAAATACATTATAATACTTCATCCAATAGCTTTTACAAAACATTTCCTCCAAAATTGGGGACGATTGTCCCATTGGCCATCGATCATTTCTTCAGGTCGCGAGTCGAGCTACCCTGCAGCAGGGATGGTCCGTGCCATGCCCGTAGACTCAACCACTGCTGACTACCTTACCTTAGGTACATGAAACTATCATCCTACCACTTCGACTCTGCCGACCAGATGAAGTCACTTGTCGGCCGCAACATACTCTTCTCTTAAAGCGACGACGGAAATGCTACAAGGATCAGCAGGGATATTGGCATGGCTGCGTATGCTCGGTCATCGCTGTGTCCGCGTTTCAAAACAATCGCGACGAGACTTCTGACCGCGAAGCTCGTGCCCAATCTCACGTCTCAGAGGCGATTCTATCTGAGAAAATCATGGGCATGAACCGACCGATTCGTGAACTGACCACCAGATGGTGTCTATTCAAAAGGAAATGATGAGTGAAGACGTCGGAAGCGCTGAGACCGGAGCTTTCTTTTGTTATGTCGCCAGCGCGATCGACCATGGATGGCTTGTTCAGCTCATAGCCAAACGAAGTAGACACAATCGCTTGGGGATCTCGTCTTCAAATGTCACTTTTACTGGCGGGTTTCAAGTGAAAACCGTGGATAGAATGGATATCACGAGAGGTTGCGAAGGACAGTACTAGGATTAACCATTTTTGTTGACGCAACTGCCCAGGCAGTCTCTCACATGGCCGACAACAAGAACAAGACCTCGCATAGTGACTCAATATCACTACTATTTGAACGTCATTGTGTGACCCACAGAAAACCGACTCCTAACTATCCTTTCTCTACCACCAGCCTTCACTTTTACCTCTACTCTTCAACCTTCAACCGTCAATCTTCAATATCAGGCTTTTTGCACTCGCTCTCCCCTCCATCACGAAAGTAAGAGTTCTTACTGACATGATACCTAGTTTCACTTCGGCCTACCGCATCCTTCATCCTTCCAACCCAGATCAACACCTCAATCGATCGCAGTCGCATCATCGCCTCACACAGAAGTCCTGTCAACATCCCTTTGTTTCCTTTGACCTCGGCTTTGACTTTCGACTTCGCAAATCTCCACAGTACAGAACTTCAACTCGTCACCCTCACTGAATCTTAGTATCTACCACGCTGCCTGAATGCAGAACCGCTTACTCCAACACTACATCACTGCCTGCAAATTACCTTTGGAAGTTACTTGAACGATCGATCGAACTTCGGAGCCACAGAAACCCCGTACCAACAGAGTATTTTCTGAGGTCCTCTATTTATTCGAAACCCATCAATGCTTCTTCCTGTCTTCAACGAACCTTAAGGTACGTCAATCCTAAAATTACCATAAGTTTATGCTCATCTCCTCTCACTTTCTCAAATGCAGCCTAACACTCCTCCTTTCTTTGTTCAGCTTTACCTAAACTTAGGCTCCACTCACCCCTTTATTTATCTGCTCATCTCTATGTTCATCACTCTCTCTTTACCCTCACTTCATCATAAATTCTGCAAACGATTTTACCTCCTTCAACAAATTCTCCTCTCACTTCTCCCACAATCCATCATAACTATTGACTTCGTTCTAACATTAACATCATGAACGCAGGTAATCTCACCAGGCCGATTTCACCCACCAAGATGAACAGAGCCCAACAAGAGGAATGGCTTGACCGACAATGGGGAGGCAAGTCTTGGCTCCTCGACGACGTCCGCAAGGCACATGAAAACCCCCCCAAGCAAAACGAGCTCGGGGGCGGTGCAGTCGACTCCCTGGTCAAGATCACTAGATTGGCCCAAGACAAAGGTATCCAGCTGGCATCCCTGTGGAGTCAGGCATCACCTTACAATGTGCTTTGGACCGGTGTTAGCCAGCATCCTAAAAACTCTCTCCGATTAACTAACGATATCGCGAGAGCTGCCTTTAACAAGCTCAAGACAACCATGCAATCTCAAAGGGCTCAAGAAGCTGGCGGCCCATCAGAGGTGGCCATTATGGAGTCCCGAGAGACTGAGCCCGAGGCTTGTATGTACGTCGGAAGTGAGCATGTTGAGAGCGACAGCAGCGATAATGAGGATATCGAGCCCGTCCTCAAGACCACGCGAAGCCCGAGCATCGTCTTGGGCGGTTCCCCCAGATCGCCAGTCAAATCGCCACCCAAGGTCGCTGGCAACAACGACAAGGGAATCTCTTCGACCTCCACCTTCAGGCACCAGGAGCCCCCAGAGCAGAGACCTGCTGTTTCGGGTGCTCCCTCTCTACCTCTACCCCCACAAAGGAACATTTCTCGTCATTTCACCCAACCACCAATTGCCACTTCGTTCAAGCGCAAAAGAGAAAAAGAATCCAGTGCGATGACCCCACAGCGATCCATGAAGCGTGCCGAAACTTCCAAGGGAGAAGAAGAGAGGGTTGACGAAGCCACCGCTATTTATAAGCAGCTCACCAACAATGTGAAACTTACGGATGATACGCTTCAATTCCTTACAAAAGCTCTCGTTTCCTGGTACCCAATGGAACAAGGCAAGGTCAAGGTCCTCGACCCTCTCTGGTTCAAGGTTGACGGAACAACTACTGGACACAACATCAAGCTCGACGGGTATACCAAGCTTTGCTTCAGTATCCATCATCTAAAGCCTAAGCATTGGACCTTGGCTATCGTTGACATCGACGACGATGCGAAATCCATGGTTTTCAATCACCATGACTCGAGCCCGTGCTGGGATCGGTTCGATACGGTTTGCGCCAGCTTCCAGAAATGGAAGGAAACCGTCGGACATAAATTCAAGCTGCGGTTCAACAATGTCGCAGTCAGTTGCTCCTTTTCCTATAAAGACTCATGCTGACCTCTATAGCCTTGTACTCCACAGCAGGATAACATCAGCTGTGGAATTCACGTGCTATCCTGCCTACGACACGTCCTGACAGACAAACCCTGCCCCCCATCGCTCAACCCGCGTGCAGAGCGCAGGTTCTTCATCCGAAAGATCAAGGAATCTGACGAAGGCCATTATCCCCTACAGGAAGTCAAGAAGGTCATCGAAAAACAGGAGTACGAAATGCTTTTGGAAGCGATTCGAAAAGAGACACCCGGATCACTCGAATCAGACAGACATCTTGCGGCCGTTGCCTTGGACCACGCCCGTGATGGCCTGAGAGATGCCCAGGCTGCGCTGAGCCGCCTCAGAATCGAGCAGGATACTCTGGCCGAAGCACTAACTCGCCTGGACGCTGCTGTCGAGACTAAATCCGAGCCCGTTCGTTATTTGAGCTTCGAACCCTTGGACAGTCTGCGAGCTGGCAGCCAGCAAGAGCTTTCTGCCCACATGAGTCGATATAGCAAAACGCTTATGGATCAGAGCTTTGCCAATGGGTCTGAGATAAGCAGAAAGGTCCTCCGCGAACATTATGATGAGATCATCGACAAACTGGAGCAAGCTGAAAAGGAGGTCGCCCAGAAACAAAAGGAAATCGATGAGGCAACCAAGGCTGTGGAGATCAAGGCTCAGATGTGCGACCTGAAGGAAAGCGTGAACAACATCTTGAAACAGCACGGGTCTCTTCTTCCTTCGAACAATTGGCTTGGGCGGGCTTCAAATTAGCTGCAAGGATGGGTGATTTGAAGGACGGCCATGAGCGAGGCAGCGCACAAGAAGTGAAAACTGGGTTCCGGTTGTGAATTAGACTGAGATCTTAGGCGTAAAAGTTTTTATTTGTCATTTATCCTTCATCAACGCGTGGATCTGCTGTGGCCGGTGTAAACTCTCGCGCGCGATCTCATAAAGTGGAACATAAAAGGCCTCTAATATCGCATAAAACTTGGGTCACTATTCCTAAAATTGTCTAAAGCTTAGGTAACTATTATAATATTCACCAAACGTGACACATGCCAGCCACCGATATCACCCTTGGAGCTCTTGTACTGTAGGAGGAGACTTTGTGCTTCTTTGGTCACCGACTTCAGGATAGTGCTCATATGCATGAGGATATTGTTGCTGGTATAGATGTGCCTGGGAGACGTCTGGCGGACCTCCTGGTTGTGGGTAATGGTACGTCGCGGGATGCGAAACAGCTGTACTCTGGTTTTGATGCTTGGCAGTCTTTTTACGAAGGAAGAGCCAAACAGATAGCCCAGCGATTACGGCAGCGGCCGGGACACCAACACCAAGTCCGATCTTCATGCCTTGACTGTTTTCGGGAGTCCCAGTATTCGTTTCTTCCGTCTCGTCTGACGTGGGGCTTGGATCGGAGGATGCCGTCACGGAAGCATCCGTGATTGTAGATGATATTGTCTCAGCTGAGGAGGTGGTCTCGACCAAAGATACGGTTGAAGAAGTCACGTCATCCTCAATGTTGCCTTTTGAGTCGAGGAAGACACCGCGTTTACCGGCGCAGCATCCAGGATCGTCTTCCGAACAGCAGTAGCTGCCATCGTCGCATCGTTTCACACGCGGGAATCGATTATTTCTCTCCCCTGGAAGCGAGAGTTAGTCGATGTCAGCATGCCATGATTGGCCAGCACACGGGTAAAACAACGAACCGTAAAGACAGATAGCAGCACACTTCTTCTTGTCATATGGTGCAACTGCACATGGGCCTCGAACAAACTCATTCTCTCCTTGTCCTTTGTTCTTGCAGAGCCGATTTGGCATGCAAGTTGCCCCCTCACCACAACAGGCCGAGGAGCCTGGGCACTGTTTGTTGTTGGTCCACTGCTTGCCGTCGACACCCCAGCACACGCCCTCTTGAGCCATTGCTGGCTGTAAAATGGCGTAGGAAACGCTGAGCACAAAACTGAAATGCATATTTGGATATATAGAAAGATCTTCAGGCGAAGAAAGACTGAGCAGTCGGTAGAGGGCGGAAGCAGCATGAGTACTACGAGTACGGGGGGAAATCTTGGGCTTTTACCAACAGACAGTATCAAAGTAAGTGGCCGGGAACTTCTGTAACCGCCAGTTTCCAACACCCTGCTCGCTTGGCTGCATTCCCTGGGACAGTTTGAGCACTTCAATTGGATAGCATAGATAAGGGCCTGTTACAGGTCTTCAGTCTTCAGTCATCTGTCTTTTAAGCGAAAACTTCGGCAGATACTTCTTTACTCGTGGAGAGAGACTCCAATATCTGGTTTTTAGCCCCTCGATAACCGACGTGAAGCCATTCAAACCCAACTCCAACATGTGTTCCCGGAGAAATTGAGTTGTTAACAATTCCATTCCATACGGAGAGTTAATACCGATACGCCATTGAACAGAGCACAGAGAGAAAGTACATTGTTAACTGGGGGGGATTAGAACTAGGATCCTTGAGTTGCTACCAACAGTTGAATCATTAACTAACAAGCAGACTGGTCTGACTGGGCGACTCGAGAGAGTTAATGATCAGCGAGTCAGACCACTGGAGAAACCTGGGGCCCCTGCATGACGACGCAGGGATTATCTCAAGCTTTTGCAATTTCTCCACGTAGCTGAACTCACGCACCTTGGCTGCACCCTATCATTGATGACATTCAGAGTCAAGATGAGACGGATAATATCCGTATCAAGCTCTCAGAAAACACAGAAATATTACTTGGAAGAGATTGCGCTGAGGAAGATCTGGGATTTGGGAACTTCCTGAGCCAAGACCTTGTGCCAACGGGGGCGGCACAGCCTGATCCATGGTTGTCTTGTTGGTTACTGGTCATTATGCTGTTGGTTGTAGGTAATGTGACATTCATCGGTGGTTGGACCAAGGCAGAAATCTCTGACAACACGAATCCAGGGGTGTCATCCTGACCCGCACGGAGGCTTAATTAGGTGCCGCTCACTGTGCTCTCCCCTTTCCCATTCTCATTCTACATCACGTCACACGACCTTGAGCCTAAATCTACCATCTGTGAACATGTCGCTGGCATCGGCATTCATAGTACGGCTCGGCCAAATGTTCAGAGACCCTCCTCGGGCCCTTGTGCGATTGAGTATCTTCGGCGGTCTTTCCCTTTTACTTATTCTTATCACCTGGAAGGGCTCGACCAGCTTATCTTACAGCTGGACGCCACCAATCAGCGAGTCTGAGCTGAAGAACATCTCCCAAAAGGCGAAGGAATATGCCGAAAATCCTGTACAGGCTCCTTATAAAAGTACGTTCTGGGAGGTCGGTCAACGATCACGAGAGTTGAGTCAATGGCTGTCGAAGTCTGACAAACTTGACCCGACTTCAAAAGTTGGGCGGCAGCTCCAGGATGTCACGGAGATAACAGCCCAACAAATATTCCCTTTCCTCCGGAATCCACCACGGAATCCCGGATCAGAAACACCACTCTCTGACCTTCGACACTCTTTTGACAGAGGGTCCAGAGGAATTGTAATTCCTGTTGGTGGTGGAGAGCAATCAGTTCGCTTCGCTGGCCATTTAATTGTGAGCTTGCGCAAAGTCTTGGGCTGTCGCTTGCCTATACAGATTGTGTATGCTGGAGAAGATGACTTGCCCAAAAAGGAACGTGACAGGATAGCGAAACTCACTGGCGCAACTGATGTCGAGTTTCTTGATATCTTCACCGTCTTTGACGATACTAGTCTGAAGCTCAAAGACGGAGGATGGGCCATCAAAGCCTTTGCATTACTCGGATCGCACTTTGAAGAAGTCATCCTCCTAGATGCTGATGCTGTGTTCATTCAACAACCGGAAAGGCTGTTTGCGCAAACAGCATATATCGAGAAAGGAGCGTTACTCTTCCACGACAGACTGCTTTGGCAACATGCGTTCAAAGAAAGGCACGAATGGTGGAAGGACCAGATCAAGGAGCCTTCAGCGGAGATGAACAAATCACTTGTATGGACAGAAGACTACGCCGAAGAATGTGATTCGGGTGCAGTAGTCCTCAACAAGGCGCGAGTAAGTACTCTTGTTGGTCTTCTACATGTCGCATGGCAGAACACATACAATGTTCGAGAAGAAGTCACTTACAGGCAAGGTCACGGGGACAAGGAATCTTGGTGGCTTGGCCTTGAGCTTGGCGGGTCCAGTTATGAGTTTGAGTCGCATTATGGTTCAATGATCGGCTGGGGTGAAAGCAAAGGAGCAAATGTGACAAAGGTTTGTAGCTTTGTCATTGCTCATACTGATGAGAAGGATAAGCTGTTATGGTACAATGGAAGCCTGTTGAAGAACAAACGTGTAGACCCAGATGGCTATGAAGTCCCAGAGTACTGGATGATGGATGGCAAATGGCATAAAGGAAGGACAAAGGATGATATGAGCTGTATGACTGATACGGAAGTACTGGAGCTGACAGATGAGGAGAAGCGCGTGTTGCGAGGGAGCATTGGAATTGCGAAGGAGGTAGATATGGCCCTCAAAGGGACAGTATAGTGATACCACAGTTATTTTATTCTATCGATTGCGACAATGGAGGGTCAGTAACGATGTGGAACTTTTGAGTAGTGTCGGGTTTGCCATGCTGTAATGCTTTAGTCATCAGTACTTTAATGCTGGAACACATGTGAGATTGAGAGGCGGTGTCGGGCAAATGAAGAAGTACATTGGTGCCCAATAAGATGAACCTGTTCTCGTGAAGGGGGGGGCCTCGATTTGTCCTATTGATTGAAGCGGGAAAAGTAGGCTGAGAGGGCGACCACTAAAGGGCTCTGTAGTGTGCTGCAGATGGCCCAGGATCAATAGTATTGGCCCAACCTCACCCAAGGCATGCCCAAGGCATTCTAGTCTGACCATTCCTTATCGCAATGCATCTAGATCCCGCAAACCTGTCACTTCTCTCTGTCAATAACCTTCCAAACTACATCAGACGATACAATGACTGTACCAGCCTTTGGATTCTCTGCCGGCGACTTCGTTAGCGCCGTGAAGTTAATCGTCGACATCACCCAAGCGTTGAAAAACACAGGTGGCGCTGCAGGAGATTATCTTCAAGTGCTGGCCGATTTGAACCTTTTGAAAGACGTTTTGTCACACCTGCACCAACAGCAAACCGGCGCGACGAGGCAAAGAAGCAACAACCCTTTTGCAGAGCATGCGCGGAAACAAGCAGATCTCACTTTATCTACACTAGCAAATTTCCTCGACCTGATATCCAAATTCGATGCTAGCCTAGGTCCTCAAAGATCGTCAGCATGGTATCGCGGTGTTGGTAGAAAAGCGCAATGGGCGCTAGTCTATTCGAAGCATGTTGATGATCTGCGGTCAAGGATTGGGACACAGATTCAGACGTTAAACCTCGTCACTCAACTACAAGAAGAGTATTTAGATCTGTCGATGGCTGTCCAGCTTCTTATGCTGACTAGGACGCAAGCGACCGTAACGACCTCGATGAGCTGAATAGTCAGCTCAACATAATCAAAGTCCAGAATGAACAGGTCATAACACAACTCCAAGACCGGTATGTCTTACTTATGAGTCTTTGAATGTGAATAGTTTTGAACCTTTTTTGTAGCCGAATCATTAGCATCGAAGAACTTCGAGAACAACTCAGTCTGCTTGACCTTCAGGACGATGAACACCAACCTGGTAACGCACCTGCGCCGCCTCAAGTTATTGAAAACTCTCAATCAAGTGCAAGTCGCCGACCGGTAGTAGCATACTTGGAAGAGCCCGACATGAATGTGACTACAACACCGGGGGGCCCAACCCAGTACTTCGTCTCAACAAGACATGACTAGCCAACAAGAAGAGACCACCCAAACGCTCTTACCAAAACTGTAGGTAAATACCGCTGAATTCTAGTTTTCATGAACTGACCTCTCGTTGCCAGTCTTCGTGCTGTCATACGAGATCTGCACAATCTCATTATGAAGGCCTGGTTACTGTTTCCAGGGCTAATGAGACACTATTCCCGCCTGTGCACGTCGATTTCTATGCCACCTCTCCTCGTTCTCGCTGAGAACATCAGCTTTGAAGATGTGCTCGGGCGTCAAACGACGTTACAGTATGACTTCTTCAGGCACTGGGCGGTAAGTGAGAGTGCAGCACAATGTTCACATGGTAGCTAACTATTTACCAGAATGTCGATATGTTCCTCAATAAACAGTTCGAGAACTGTCCAGGTCAGCAGTATATCGCCAAAAAGCAATATTTCTTCCTCGGTGCTGATGCAGCAACAAATAAGCTGAACTCAAATGTTGAGATCGCTTGGCAAGCAATGGCCCGCCCTGGATGCCAAATTTCGATGTCGATAAAGATGATTGCAGAACAGAAGGACGTATCAGAGGCCAAGTGCCCCAGCCCTGGTTGCAAAGGCCGTTCAGTCAAAATAGACGATGAGGAAACATTTTCATGTCAGAAGTGCGATCTGACGTACTCCATGCTGCCCAAAAACCCTGCAAAAGAACCATCTATCAAGGAAAGGAGAAGTACGTCCAGGGTATACGGCTTAATTCCATACTGGCGACGGGCGCAAGCTTCTGAAACGAATCAAGACATAGTTGGAGTGGATCAGCAAATTGCTTGCTTCAAGAAAGTCCACATATTGGCACCTGCGATGGACGAACCATCGATAGTGAGCACTATGTCCCTAGGGAAAAGTCCATTTCGATCGAAGAAGGCCAAACGCAGAAAGGTCGTTTGGGTCTGGACATGTTGCGGCTGTGGAATAGGTGGCATGAGAATAACGGCGGCTAATTGTCCGCGCTGCGGCCTTCCTCGCTGCCCCATGTGTAATACGACCAGGAGAGAGCTCATGTCTTAGTTAACTTCTGGGTCTAAGGGAAACATATCATGACGGTATGCAGCTACAAGTTTACGTTCCCTGCAGCACCAACAGAACAGCTGAAGCGAGACACGATTAGGCACTGAAGTTTGATATTGATGCTGAGCATGGATGCAGTGCCAGCAACGTCAGTTGTTTCATACGACCAAAGCTCGTAGAGAATACGGGATCCCATCCAGTTCTTCCTTTTTATGCCAGTACCTTAGCTTTCTAGGGTCGCAACCTCTGTCTTCAGAAATACAGACCTTGTTTCTCTTTGGAGGTTTACGAGCTATCAATCGCTTAATCGAAAGTATTACTTATCCTAGCAATTTTAACCAGACGTATGCCTATCTATATATATATATTTAATTTTACTAATATGAAGAGAAAATTAAATAAAAGAGAATAAGGGTTTCATAATTACTTTTTACTTAATCAGCTTGTAATACCATGTTTATATGATTTTCCTGCTAAGCGCAGCGGCTAGACACGTGATGGGCCGTTTTGAGGTAGCTCCGAAGATAGTTATGCCAAACGCTGACACCGCAACGGTGACAGCCCTATTGCTTTGCATACTTGCGGCCCCTCCATCTCAATCAGCCCTTATCTCAAACAGCAGCTAATGACCCTGGCATCAACGCTGACCTCCTAAATTTAGTACGTGTCTCAGCAGGGTCCGGTCCGTGTAAGCAGGCTCGCGGGATGAGTGGGTGAGCCGGCACTGTCCGAAAGTGGTTAAACACCGCTCCACTGCAGTTCTAGCATCAAACACAGGCCCAAGTCCCGCTTTCGGGTGTTTGCCGCATACAGATCGCATCCAACGCTATGCCTGGCCCGCAGAGTCAGTTCAGTGGAGAGGCACGATCGATATATAGAGTCCGTTGATGTTAAATTTGTGGGTTGCCTTATTGGTGTGTCATCTATTTTGGCGTCTGGTTCGATTCTCCCGAGATTATTACTGGGATATCATTTATCGACCATGGACAACTTCAATTCAATCGCTCTCGAGCGTTTGCTGAGTCCCTCGGCGCTGTTTGGCCTCACTGGTCTTTGGCTTGGTTATCGTGTCGCGCTCGCACTTTACAACGTTTCCCCTCTCCACCCACTCTCCAAGTTTCCTGGCCCAAAAATTGCCGCCGCTTCTTACGTGTATGAGGCCTACTATGACTGGATCCTCATGGGTCGGTATGGCAGGAGGATAGAGAAAATGCATGAGCAGTATGGCGAGTACTTGATGAAGACTTCCTGATAAATTTGAAGTAACTAATAGTCATTGAAGGTCCTATCGTGCGCGTCAGCCCTGATGAACTTCATTGCAGCGACCCGTTCTTTGCCGATGAGATCTACACGGGAAAGCCAGGCCGAAGTATGTCTATACAATTACCTTCCTCGCTTGTAACCTTCTCGGCTCAATAAAACTCTTCCGCTTACATTTCTCTTAGTCCGCGATAAATGGCAGCACCACCTCAAAATAGCAGGCGCTGGCCCAGTCTCACAGGCAACTGGCACTGCTGGGCCGCACGAGCTACATCGCAAGCGTAGGGCTGCCCATGCACGTTTCTTCTCACGCGGACAGGTGCTCAAGCTCGAGGACGAAGTGTACAACTACGCCAAGCTCGCTATTGAGAAAATGCTCCGCTGGACCGGCAAGGAGGCCTTTGAAATTAAAGGCGCCTTCAATTGCTATACCGCCGATGTCTTCTCCCAGTACGCATTTGGAGAGCCTATGGGCTTCATCGAGCAGGAGGGCTGGGAGCCCAACTTTGGAACTTGGACCTCGTCCTTCTTGACAACCACTTACATGAGTACGTCTTTAGAGAGCCCTTTCTACCGCTTTGTTTTGGTTGTGTCTCGCGCGTACAGATATATCTTCTGGGCTGCTTTGTGCTATACCAATAGCCCCTGCGAGGCCCAGAAACATAGTCTTGATCGTGGAACCCCTTTCGACTAGACAGTTATGCTAATTGACGGCGAACAGTGCGCCACAATGGGCTGGCCAGACGGCTGGCTGATATCCTCCCCATGTTCGCGGACTATATGGGCGAGGATGTCAAGAGGATAATGCACCAGATGAATCATGTTATCCCAGCGTACATCAAGACTGCCCTGGCAAATCCCGATGGCGGCCGTGTATTTAACGAGATTCTGAACTCCAATGTCCTGCCCGAGGAAGAGAAGAGCATGTATCGTCTCTCGGGTGAGGGGTTTGTCTTCCTTGTTGCTGGAACCGAAACCACTGCGGTCAGTTCTCTCACCATGGTGGACTGGTCGGATTTGCCTAACTGACTCGATACAGGCTATCCTTACTGTCATGACGTTTCACCTACTTCATCAACCCAAAGTCTACGCTCGTCTGATGAAAGACCTGGAAGGCATTGATCCCAATAATCTCAAATGGGCACAGCTCGAGCAGAGACCATACCTCTGGGCCCTCGTTCAGGAGTCTCTGCGGCACCAGCCTGGGGCGGCCGCTCGATCAGCCCGCATTGCCCGTGAGGAGGAACTCTTCTATAAGAGTCAAGATGGCAAGACGCAATTTGTGATCCCCCGAGGCACACCTGTAAGCATGACGGCCATGATCAACCACTGGGACACGCGGCTGTTTCCCGACCCCGACGCATTCAACCCTGAGCGGTGGTTGTTGCCCGACGGCAAGCCTGATTACACGCTGCAAAAATTCCTCATCTCGTTTTCGAAGGGATCTAGGGTTTGCGTTGGCGAGAGGTGAGTTTTATCATAAAGGACGGGGCAAGCCCAAGTCGGAAATTTCGTACTGACAGTTGTGTCTTACAGTCTTGCGCTGTGCGAGATCTATATCATGGCCGCCCTGATGGCGTTTCGAATTATCCCGAAAGCCGAACTTTTCGACACTACGATTGAGGATCTCACGTATGACCATGACCTGGTCGTGTTGCAGACGAAGAAAGGACACATTTCGACTCGCATCAAGATCGCGTGATTTACGGAAGACTATCAAAACGCCAACTTGCCTTGCCCTATCTAAGAGGGCTACAGCAATCTCCTCCAGTAAGTTTATGCAAACTATGAACTCCCTGGCGACACTGTGTCCATATTGCCCTGCCCCCATTATGGTGTTGTCTCGTGGGCCGGCGGAATTTGTTTAGCTCTGGTGTTCAGGGGCAAGCTCCCGATTAAGCAATGGAGCGATTTTCTACGGTACCAGCAGGCAACAGTTTAGGACTGTATATAAGAACTATAAAGAGTTAGAATTAGAAGGTGACAAAGATACATGAACCTTTACATTAGAATATCTATTATCCAAACTGTTAAACCTTGAACAAATCAAGCATTAAAGTGCGAGAAATCAGATCTGACGCCAAGTTCGTCGCTTGTAGCAGAGTCAACAAAGGGCTTGCACGGTATTCATGAAGATGAGCCGACAACGTTACAGTGACATCCTCAACGAGCTCGATAAACTCCTCCCATATAAACTTATCACCAACAATATCGGACGTCCGGTTTCAATGATCCAGCGTGAGCAGCTTAGCCGGAATTTCAGCGGCTTCCTGACTGCAATCAACTGCATTCGGCAACTTGCAATTGTCAAGAATGACAGCTCTGCTCCCAGCGAGACCTAGGATGGTGGGAAGGGGCTGAGATGGCTGTTGAATTTAGATATTCCCTAATAGTCAAGATAACTGCCAAGGGACCCCAGATCCATTTTCTCGACAGCACCCAAATATTTCCCCTTATCTTCAGAGCATTGGAAAAGGCGTGCTCGATGAGGAATACCCCAAATGCTGGGGATGTAGCGTTTGGTGACGTTGGACCTCAAGCTGGCCTGGATCAGGGCATTTTCATTCTCAGAATAGTCTTAACGGCAAAGGTCTCATGTTGCTCCAGAACACCAGACATTTGCTAAAGCTTTAGATAGTCTAAGCTTTGTGTAGTGATACAAGCCCTCGGCCACGATAGTCAATGGCTCCTATGCGGGCTCCAAGTGTAGGGGTCGACCAGGTCAAAATCACTCGCCCTTCTGCACCACCATGAGCTGCCAGGCTTTGGACACCCCAGTCTGGCATTCAAAGGTTGCAAGGTAGCCAAGGTTCTTAGACCAGTGTCTCCTACTTGCTACCGTTACAGATGTCAAGAAGAATCAGCATGCTGTATAAGCACCACAGTTCGCATGTCACATGAGATTTGGCGGTGCGTCTCAGTGTCCTTCTACGCCCGGAAGTCGGTAGGTATCTCGTTTCATTCTTTTATAAGTTACTAAAAGTCTATAAAATTGTCCGTTCTTATCTTAGTTCGTAAATATTTGAACCATTCACGTCAGGGCCTCCTCGAGTCGGAGTTAGTCCTGAGCAAGTGAGGGTGAGCGGTCCTAGTACACCTGCACCAGGCTATGACAGCAGTCAAAGCTATAACCTCAACCACAACTCGTTCTGCACAGGCGCTCGGTGGACCTAGGATGCGCGTATCCTGGGCCTATGGGCCTGTGGCTCCTGTTGAATAACTATACGTGGCTTCGCGTTCTCCATCAGGTATGGTCGCTGACGGAGGACCTCCCTGAAGTAGCTCGGCCGGCCATCCTCCTCGACGAGCTCCAGCAACCGATCGGCTTTGAAGTCGACCGTAAGGCCGCTAAGCCATTCACCATCTGCCATCAATACAACGCTGCAATGCCACGGCGTCGTAAAGCCGCTTTTGGTGTTGAGCAGGCTGATGGAAATCTTATGCTCTCCAGTAGACTGGTGGATACTGAGACGTAAATAGTTCGGGAAGCGCGCTTTGACGGCTCCCGCAAAAGCCTAATCACAAGAGAGATTCTGTTAGCTGTGGGAACTCGACTAGGCATTGAAATGACTGGCTGAAGTAGTGAACTTGAAACTTACGTATCCTCGGATCAGCATTTGCTTGGCGAGGTACTTGACATCTTTCCTGTACTTGGCACTGCTCTTGGCTGGGCCGAAAATGTGCTGCAGATCTGACTTGAGGAAGCGGCAGTACCCCTTGTACGTCCCGAGCGTGTCCGGATTTGTGGCGATTTCATGGTCAATGTCAAGATCGCCGTCCCGGCCATACTTGTTGAACAGGGTCCGGCGGAAGTTAGTTGCGTTGGCAACGTACGTGAGCTCATTAAGGTCATTGGGCAGGCCCTTCACTGCGACCAAATCCTGTAGGCGGGAGAATGAGAGATGAGAGAAGGCCTTGCGCTCGGCCATGGCCCGTAGCGCCGACCCGTAGCGCCAGGTCTCCTGGTCAGAAATTCCTAGCAAGTCTAGATGACGATTCAAGAAGAAGTGTCAGTGATGTGCCAGTAGCCGTGAGAGTTTTCACCTTGTTTCGAGTGAGGAATGCAGAGGATGAACGAACCATTGTAAACCAGGCCGTCTGAGATGACAGTCAGCTCTGCGCCAGGCTCATAGAATTGGCCAATGGTGACACATATGGAGTTTAGTCTAGCAAGTGCCAACTCTTCAGCCTTATCTGGGAGGGTACCCAGCACCTTTTCGACCTTATTTGCTGACTTGAACGGGAATGCCGGCAGACACATGACCACCTTTTGCCGTGCCCTGACAAAGCGTGAGACGACGGCTAGGAACTTAGGCCTGCCGGCGCTATGCAGTTCCTCGGTGCTGTCGAACTTGTGAAGAGAGTATTCTAGAATGACGTCCAGAATTCTGTTGGAAGTCTCGGAGACTTTGGTCTCTTCAGAGTCTTCCGTTTTGTCATCTGCGGCGGGAGGGCCCGTCATCTCGCTCGGAACACTGGAGCGGGAGGATCTCGTCGACATGGTGTCGTCGAACGAGACGTCTGATCCAGCTATGGTGACAGCCGGTGTCTTCAGCTTCAAGACGTCGGAGGGGTTCTGATGATCAATATCGATGGACATGGCGACCAAAGCACATATGAATGGTATGGCAGAAGATGAAATGATAGACGATAAACATGCAATAAGGGTGAAGCGGAGGTGTCGTAAAAGTCACAATCTAGAACAAGCCGTACATATAGTGTCACGTACAACACTTATCCAATTGGGACAGATGATCCAATGTAAGAGGCCTTGATTCTTCACAATGGAGATTGGCGGACATGCTCAGCCTTATTTTATCCGGGAGAATGCCAGAAGAAGGAAGATGATGTCTGCCTCACTCCAACCCAAGTGAGGCAAAGCCCGTCATTGTCATTTGGTAGCATATGCTAATTCCATGCCGGGGGCACTGCACTAGGAAGGGAACGTGTGGCTTGGTAGGGCGGAAGCTAAGGAAGCCAGGCCGCCGCAAAAAGCAAAGAGGGTCAACGGGACGGGATATTGCCGTTTCAGGTCCGCTGCCGTGAACTACCTTACAGCGTCTGAGGTGAGATGGAAGTGGATCGCGACAGGACCCCAGTACCGAGACAGGGGTGCTCTTTAGACTAAGGTACCTAAGCGCCCGCCCCCAATCTCAATTATCGGACAGCCTGCGACCTTCTGTTGTGTCACCCAGAAGCAGGATTTCTCCTCTTTCTCCTTCTCCTTTCTCTTCTGGCTTACAATTTCACAATCGCATCCCCTCATCGCTTACTCTCCGCCTGAAGAAGCCGGTCTTCTCGGTGCACCTCTCAGCAAACGACACCCCCCCGTACTCAGCCTAGTTACCGTGATCTGACGGCATCCCGAAGATCCATTTAGCGTCCCAGCCGGTAGACTAGTGGCCTGGCGCGCTTGTGAGGCCCTCCACTACACCAACTCCACGACCAAAATCCCTGAGAACTGCTTGCTGTCGTTGTCGCTGTCGCTGCGATGGGACAAACCTATATGCGTCTGCCGGAAGATGGCGATGACAGAAATGCCAGTGCCAGCAGGCTTCCAGCGCCCACGAGCGCACATCTGGCAACAACCACGCTGCAGGTCGGCGGCATGACGTGCGTCGCCAACTCTTACTTTCGTTCATTTCGTTCTCTAAAGCTAACTCTGTAACCTCAACAGATGCGGTTCTTGCACATCGGCCGTTGAATTCGGCTTCAAAGGCGTTGACGGCGTCGGAACAGTCTCCGTCAGCCTCGTAATGGAGCGCGCCGTCGTCACACATGACCCGGACATCATACCTGCCGAGAAGATACAGGAGATCATCGAGGACCGTGGGTTTGATGCTGAGGTTCTTTCGACCGATCGTTCCAACCCCGCGACTACTCGATTGAACAACCACTTCTCCGACCAGGGCACTGCGATTGGGAGCGAAGCTGAGTCTGCAACGACAACTGCGACGACCACTTTCGCCATAGAGGGCATGACATGTGGAGCCTGCACGTCCGCCGTTGAAGCCGGCTTCAACGGCGTGGCCGGCGTGCTCAAGTTCAACATTAGCCTTTTGGCGGAACGAGCCGTTATCACTTATGACGAGACGAAGCTTTCGCCGGAGAAGATAGCCGAGATTATCGACGATCGCGGGTTTGATGTTACTATTTTATCGACGCAGCGCGACTCGATCCATCAGGGAGGAGACACGTCAACCGCTCAGTTCAAGGTCTTCGGCTGCAAAGATGCGACTACTGCCCAGCTTCTGGAGGAAGGCCTCATTGCAGTCCAGGGCATCCGATCCGCATCTCTCAGCCTCAGTACGGACCGCCTGACAGTCATCTACCAGCCCAGGACTATAGGACTTCGTGGCATTGTTGAGGCTATAGAGGTGCAGGGCTTGAATGCCCTCGTTGCAAGTGGCGAGGATAACAACGCGCAGCTTGAGTCGCTGGCCAAAACGCGCGAGATTACCGAGTGGCGGACAGCGTTCAGGACGTCACTTGCCTTCGCGATCCCCGTTCTCCTCATCGGCATGATTATTCCTATGGCCTTCCCAGTGATAGACATTGGACGTTTCGAACTCATACCTGGTCTATTCCTGGGTGACATTGTATGTCTCGTTCTCACATTGCCTGTTCAATTCGGCATTGGCAAGCGATTCTATATCTCTGGGTATAAATCTCTTAAACATAGATCGCCAACGATGGATGTTCTCGTCGTTCTGGGTACATCATGTGCCTTCCTCTTTAGCGTCTTCTCAATGCTGATCTCTGTCCTTCTTGAGCCGCATTCTAAACCTTCCACGATCTTCGACACATGCACCATGCTCATCACATTCATCACACTGTCTCGGTGGCTGGAGAACCGGGCCAAGGGCCAGACTTCTAAGGCGCTGTCTCGTCTTATGTCACTAGCTCCGTCCAGAGCTACCATCTATGCTGACCCGATCGCTGTGGAAAAGGCAGCAGAGAGCTGGGCAAAATCATCCGACGAGCCCCCAACGTCTAAGACACCTCGGACTCATGAACCTGGCCTCTCTGCTTGGGAGGAAAGGGTCATCCCAACAGAGCTGCTTGAAGTTGACGATATTGTGGTCATCCGGCCCGGTGACAAAATTCCAGCAGACGGCATTCTGGTTCGAGGCACTACATTTGTTGACGAAAGTATGGTTACTGGAGAAGCTATGCCTGTTCAGAAGCACATGGGTGATAGTATCGTCGCCGGCACTGTTAACGGTGATGGACGGGTCGACGTCCGTGTTACTCGAGCTGGCCATGACACCCAGCTAAGTCAGATTGTCAAGCTAGTGCAAGACGCACAAACCGCTCGCGCCCCTATTCAGCAGCTTGTTGATACAATAGCCGGCTACTTTGTCCCCATGATTCTCATCCTCGGCCTTGGTACGTTCCTTGTATGGATGGTCCTCTGTCACGTTTTATCCCACCCTCCGGAGATCTTCCTCGAGGATAATAGCGGCGGCAAGGTCGTAGTCTGCGTTAAGTTGTGTATCTCCGTCATTGTCTTTGCTTGTCCGTGTGCTCTTGGACTAGCTACGCCCACGGCCGTGATGGTTGGTACCGGAGTCGGTGCCGAAAACGGAATTCTGATAAAAGGCGGTGCTGTCCTGGAACGTATAACCAAGGTCACGCAGGTTGTCCTCGATAAAACTGGCACCATAACTTATGGTAAGATGAGTGTGGCCAGCATAGGTCTCGTCCCGCAATGGACAAGAAGCGAGGTCAGTAGACGACTATGGTGGTCCATCGTTGGTCTAGCAGAGATGGGGAGCGAACATCCTGTGGGCAAGGCTATCCTGGGCGCTGCAAAGAACGAGTTAGGTATGGCGCCCGAAGGAACCATTGATGGCAGCATTGGAGACTTCAAAGCGGTTGTGGGCAAGGGTGTCAGTGTGACTGTCGAGCCAGCTACCGCGAACCGGTCACGATACATGGTACTGGTTGGCAACCTGATATTCTTGAAGGATGGCGGTATCGATGTCCCCAAAGATGCTATCGAGGCCGCAGAGAAGCTTAACCTGTCCGCTGGCGAGGACACATCGCAGGCCAAGAGCGATCCCCGCAGCGCTGGAACCACCAACATCTTCGTTGCCATCGACGGCCTTTACTCGGGCCATGTGTGCCTGTCCGACACAATCAAAGAGGATGCTGCAGCGACTATCTCGGTCCTGCACCGCATGGGCATAAATACCGCCATGGTGACTGGCGACCAACGGTCTACCGCACTCGCTGTCGCCTCTGCTGTGGGTATCGATGCCAACAATGTTTACGCCGGTGTTAGCCCCGATCAGAAGCAGGCTATCGTACAAGAGATCCAGGACCGTGGCGAGGTTGTCGGCATGATTGGCGACGGCATTAACGACTCCCCGGCACTTGTGACGGCGGACGTGGGCATTGCTATGGCAAGCGGAACAGATGTCGCGATGGAGGCGGCTGATATGGTGCTTATGAGGCCGACAGAGCTTATGATAATACCTGCTTCGCTGGCGCTTACGCGCACCATCTTCCGCCGTATCAAGATAAACCTCGGATGGGCATGCATCTATAACGCTATCGGCCTCCCGATTGCCATGGGCTTCTTCCTTCCGTTCGGGCTTATCGTACATCCTATAATGGCGAGTCTTGCGATGGCGTTCAGCAGTGTGACGGTGGTGGTCAGCAGCCTGATGCTCAACTCCTGGACAAGGCCTGTTTGGATGGATGAGGTGGCGAAGAACGGCGGCGGGGAGCCCAAGGCGGAGAGGTGGGTATGGGGAAGGGGAATCGTCGGCTGGGTGAGGGAGATGATGGGACGCAGAGGCAAGGAGGAAGAGGTTGGGTATGTGCCATTACAGAACATAGAAGGTTGAGTTTGTGTGTGACCATTGTCTTGATATGCATTGCAATATTCAAGTCTGCTTGATGAGCTTTCAACTTGGGAAAGGAATGCAGTTACAAAAAGACTACCTTTCCGCCCAAACAGTCACGTCCATGCTGTCGAGGTAAGGCACGAAATGCCTCCATTAGCTATCAGGTCTATCAACTCAAAGTAACATTCTCAAAACACACCTCAGGCAGCATATTAGCTATCCACACCATAACCCAATATGACATGCTGTGAATGATTCGATCTTACATCTCTTCATCTCCAAACCAAAGCAATCTCAAGATTAGGACCTGGCGAATCGTTAGACGACCTCTTGCCGTAAGTGACCTGGCAAAACAACCTTCTAAGTAGGAGTATGCATATGCGCTCAATATATTCGAAAAGTCAGTCTAGCTATCTCTCTGATCTACTACCATTGTATCTCGATTCGCTCGCAACCTTACAACACCGCCATCTTCTTTGGTATAAGCAACTCTCGCGTTTTCCTGACCCGAGCACCATCCTCCTTACTCTTAAAATACCGGCCCGTCTTGTAGCTCCAGAGCAGGCTACCGAGAGCATGGTTCTTCTCGACCTCGAGATAGCCGAGGAGCGCGCGGTCGGCCTCCTCGCCGAAGCATGGGAGCTCCGATAGTGCTCTGTAATAGCGTCTGTAACAGTCGTTGATCATAACTCCGACCTCGTTGATGGCCTGTTGGGTTGAGAGCCCCTTGGCCTTGAGCAGGCGGACCATATTGTGGTCAACCCCGAGGCGAAGGTCCTTCTCGTAGGAGAGAATGTCGTTGACTAACAGGATCTGGTCGCTGATGATGACCATGATCTCGAACACTAAAGGATGATCCGCTACCTCCTCGGGCAAGTCAATCCCATAGGCCCACTCATTGTTGACCAGCGCAGGATAGGCGCCGAGAGAGCCCCGGCGCATGGCCAGGTATTCGTCCGGACCACGTGTGAAGGACCGGCCCTCCACATTTGTCCGAACCTGCGCGACCAGCCCCTCCCAGTAGAGCTCGTGTGCCCACTTCCAGCGCCTGTAGAAGCGCTCTGACGATGGCTTTCCCGCGTAGAAACCCTCTGGGCTTTGCTTCACGCGATCGCACAACGTCTGGAACACATAGCGAATAGGGTGTTCTGAGTCGGCGGTATACCGCGGGGCAGTACCCTCCATGATCTCACGTGTCCTAGCAATCTCATTCACGGCGCCATCCAGGTCATTGGACAGGTGGCCTTCGTCGAACTGGTCGTCGAATAGGAAGGCCCACGAGTTCCAATCGGCTGACGTACGTAAGGCGAATGCGCTGCAGTCGGGAGCCCAGATGCTTGCAAGATAGGTGAAGTCAACCCGTTTGTTTCTGCTGGCCCACTTGGCATCGGCGTTGATCACGCTTTACCCAGTCAGTCAGGGTTGACTCTTCAAGGAGGTCTGCTGGATGCGTGGGGTGCAACTTACGAGGCAATCCACTCGTCAGCGTCGGCTTTGACGCGGGCATAGTTGGGGTTCTCGCGGGCTGGGACCGACATGAGTGAGCTGAAGAGGTCGGGAAGGATGAGAACCTCCATCTCGGCATGATCTTGAAATTGGTCATGTTCGGGGACGTTGTGGACCCCGTTCCCGTTGGCCATCCTGGATTTGATCTCATGTTTGGCGTTGATATGAAGCTCGTCCCCGTTCGTCATCTCGGACTCAGAACCACTATCGAATTTGACCATGATGCCACTCTGTTGTCAGGTTTGGATGTTCTATGCTAAATGAGTAATCTTAAGTCAAGTACATGAACGCGTCTGAAACTTGTTAATATATGGAAGCATCATATAATGCAGCAGCAGATCTCTGGTACATTTAAGGCGTGGCGTCTGCCGAGGGATCTACTCATGCAGGCTGCAACTCTCATGTCTGCATTGGGAAAGACGCCGCCTCTACGGAAAAGGAATGATAACGTTGTGAAAGCGTTCATGTGCCGGCACTAGCAACGAATTTCTCCGTTTGAGGCTTGATCCGGTTGCTTATTATCAGTGCCGGACAAACCCCCGAAAGGTCGTAAGCAATAACACTCCGGTCAGCTGACGTGAGCCTAAATATGTTCCGTTCTGCATGGTCCATATCAGTCCCTTGCAACGGCACATGCTCGTATAGGAAGTCTAGAGGGGAAAATAAAAATGACCCTAAATCGGTGGATCGCCCGTGAATTTTTGTGTAAGCTAAACTCATCAAGGGTCGTGTATTTATCTCCCAGAGGCGCAGTGCAGAGAGATACGAGCAGGAATGCACTTAGGGAGTAGTGCTTACATCTGAACCCCTGTATCTTCAGCAGTGGAGCTTGGTTCCCTGTCGGCCCCGGCTCAACTAGATACTGGATTGGCCACAGGGTAAAAGGCCTCCACAGGCAGCGGGAAGTCTACTGAAATCGAGAGATTCCCGTCGCTAGACGTAGTAAACGCGCTGATATCAGATTGGTGAGATTAGGCTCTCAGCACCCCTAGTCGGCGACCCACTGCCGAATTCAGGGGTTTAGGTGTACTGAAACGGAAGATGAATGGGGCGGGACTTGGCACCCGACGGGTGGGCCCGCAGCCCTTGGGGGCTAGGGACTTTTCAGGGATCGATTTTCGGGGTCCAGAAGGCTGGTTCATGGAATTTGGAAGGTGAGCATGATCTACAAGTACGAAATCGCGCAGGACAACTTGGCGAACCGTGCTCCGACTTTCTTTGATAATCCTTTGCAATCTGCAACCCAGTAGGTCACTGTGTAATTGTAAGCTCGGCTAAAAGCACATGGGAGAGGCGTGGGGAACGTAGCCATGCATGGGTAGGATGATAAAGTTCACCACCATCCACTGGTATACAGTCACAGTCATTGCCTGATCCAGCATATTACATATACTGCTGATCCTGTTTGTTCGATAATTTATCCAGAAAATCTACCTAGACTGTAGATCATCATGTTTAGTACCCTACGGCAAACGTTTGGTGATGGAGACCGACTCCTCAGCGTGGAGATTGCCCCGCCATTTGACAAGGACAGGATGTCCATGCGCACTGCTTGTGAGAGATGCCGCGCACAAAAGGTAGGTCACATCGCGGCCATTCACATTCATCATCATTATCCAGTCGGGGAGTCTTGATAGATAAACCGTAGAGACCTCTTTTTCCATCTTCACTTGACGACAACGAGACTGATTTGACGTTTGCGTTGCCTTTAGTCCAAGTGCGTGAGCGGTGAGAACGGCTGTATGCTATGCGTTGCCAAGAACCGAAAATGCGAGTACTTGGTCATCTCGAGGCCTCAACGGCGGACATCCAGCGCCGCTAGTGGTGGTTCAAAGTCACGGAACGATGATGAGGATGACGACGATGACGGCAACAACAACAATACAGTCGTCAACCAACATAAGCAGTCGAACCAGGCGAGGAGACACAAACGCTGGTCCCGAGCGCAGTCTATGAGACAATCATCGCCATTATCAACACATTTATCATCCCCCAAGGACCAATCAAGGGTCGTAACAGCCTCGCAACCCTCGCTTCAGGACAACAACACCAACGACATCGCAACAGGGCCAGACGAGGGCCTAGAAGATGCACAGCAACTGTTTCTCAGCACCCTCTTCCCGGACTCCCTTGGACAGATTCCGGCTGTCTTTCCGCAGTTCGATCCGGACTTCTTTGGCAAGGTGGCCGGTCCCACGCCTACGGCTGCCGCGAAAAGTCGGGCAGGCCGCAGCGGTGTTGGTGTTACCGCCGAAGCGTTGACCGCTCGAGGAGACAGTAGCAAGCAGAGTAATCACACATCTGTATACTCATCGTCGTCGGCAGATAGCCTCTTTGAATACGGGATTGACCCGATGGATTTTCTGATGGATGAGTCGCACATCCCTACAACGGTGGCTCCCAGCAGTGCACACGGCAGCAATAGAGTCACAAATGAGGCTCGGCCTAGTACGACTCATTCCTCAACACCACCGGACTCAGCTGCCACCTCCAACTCTTCATCTTCATCTTGCTGCTGCATGATGACAGCTGTCAACATCTACGAGGCCATGCAGGCTCAGCTCGTCTGGGGCGATCCCATCGCCGGCCCATCGGCGGCATCAAGTCCCAACTCTACGTCAGCAGGCTCTTCATACTCGTCTGGGCCATCGTGGTCAGGGTCAGAGTCAGGGACAGGCGCGACAACATACCATTCAAAAACGCCTCTTATGACCCAGCAAACGATCCTGAAGCGTCAGAAGACGATACTCCTTCGTTGCGACTCCCTTGTCCAGTGCGGCACCTGCTGGTCCCGTCCGGACTTTGTCATGCTGATAATCACCATGTGCGATCGCATATTAACTAGTCTGGAGGCGGTCGAGCGTTTTGTTTGCGGCAGAAGCGATGATGACGTAAACAGGATCAGTTCCAACTTCACCGCTGCTGCCCTAGACATGCACGCCATGGAAACACCGTCACGCGCGGGGCTAGAGGTGTCATCCCTGTCCCGATCGTCCCAGATGCTGCAGCCTGGGGTGGGTGCATGGCAGATCGACGACGACGATGAGATGGAACTGGTTATTAGCCTGATCAAGTCCCGCGTGACAAGGCTCGGCAATCTGATCACCATGGCTGAGGGAACAATAAGCGCAAACGCGTGGCCTTGGCATGAGAGGCTGGTCCAGGCTCTGCGGAAGAGGTCTAACAAACTTCTTATCTCCTTGTCATTTCGTCACTTTCCTTGAGGCCTTGTCTCACTATAAATTTAGTTGTGTGGAGTTTATTTAGACTGGCTAAAAGGACTACTCTTGGAATAGACAAGCATGGAGTAAATATTTCGGTAGACAATTCAGACAGCCAAGTCAAATGCAGAAAACCCTCTCCAGGGGAGGGGAGAATATCGGTACATAGTAGTTATACAAGGACAACGATGTACAACATCAAGACCCCATAACGCTTGATACAGCCACGAGAAAATTCAAGGTGGCATGTTCTGGGTCGGGCCCCTGTAATTGCCAACACTCCTTCTTGCCCGTATGTACTGCATGACTTTCAGAGTCTGTCTTGGGCAGGATGCTGCGAGTGAGAGTACAGCCTCTCGGCTTCCGGGTGTCAGACGCGCATCCAGTGCTGACAGGCAGTGCGTTCAGACTGGCAGCTGGCCGATGGACACTTGCCGCTTCGGGCTCCCTTCCGCCCCGTTGCTTTGGCCCCGCCTCACCTCGTCCAAATTGCTGCTCCGGGCAGACCTCCGCCCTGCCTGGTGATGACACAGCTGACGGCCACGAGCAGCATAAGGATAATCGGGACCGATAATATTTGGGCACGACATTACTTCAGGCATATCCGTATTCATTGGCACTATATCAGTACTTCAGGAGAGAAAAGCCCACCTGGTCTTGGTCGTACCAAAGGTGAAAGTAACAGTCCTGAACATTCTTGTCAGGACAATCTAAAGCTCCTTTGCGGAGACCTCTGAGGAATCAAGTCTGATCGACTACTGCTGACGACCCAATTCGATTCACCTTCACTGTCACTGACACAAGCGTCAGTCTTCACTTCACCATGGCCTCTCCTCTCCTGCTCATCGGCGCTATTGGCCTTCCTATCATCATCCTGCTCCAATGGCTCGTGACATATGCGCGCACCGTCCTCAAGGTCCGCCGCAATGGCCATCCCGCGATACACAGCGGCATTATGATCTTCGAGTCCGTCATTCGCTCATGGTATCCTCGCGTCCCCGTCCTGGTACCCATGGAGAAGTTTACCCTCAAGGATCCTTTCAAGAAGTTCGCCAATGCGCGCTCCGACATGATCGTCATTACCGAGGCCGTGAGTGACCCCTCCCGATTTTCTAGAAGGAACAGGTACTGACGTGGGAATCTCGTTACCAGTCGTCTCCCAATGGGGTCGCCTACCTCTTTGGATCGCCAAAGATCTTTCGCGAAATTGGCCGCAACGGCGACATCTTTCTCAAGCCGCTTGAGAAGATCCGCTATCGCATGCTGAATACCTTTGGACTGCAGCTCGCCTCGACACAGAACGGCGCCCAGCATGAAAGACACAAGCGCGTCGTTAAAGCAGTGTTTAACAACGAGCTTATGGAGAACGGGTGGCATAACATGCGCAATATGTGGCGGGCCTTGCTCCGAGAAGAGGGCGTCTATCCAGCGGCCGCCAACTCTGAGACAGCTCCCATTGTACGAGACATGAAATCAACCATGCTGAAAGTGACACTAGGAGCCATCGGCGCCTCATGGTTCGACATTGACATACCCTGGGATCCGGCTGAGGAGTCGCAACGCAACACGAAAAACGACCTGATGCCATTCGCCGAGACGCTGAAAGTGGTGTGGGATTCGCCATTTGTACAGACCATGCTACCTCTGTGGTTCCTGGAATGGAGTCCTTCATTGTATTTACGCCGCGCTGGCTGGGCGCAGCGATCCCTCGTCACCCACATTAAGAATGCGCAGGCTGAGACAAGGCAAAGAATCGAGGACATGAAAGATAACGCCGAGGTTCAAGGCCGGCCGAGAAAGTACAGGAACCTCATCGATGCGCTGGTCGATTCCCAGAATGACGTTGAGAAGGCTGAGAAGGCCGAGAAGGGATACGTGGCCCCTAATGTCGGGCTATCAGACAAGGAAGTCCAAGGCAACATTTTCTCTTTCATGGTGTAAGTTTATAAGGCACTCGACGTTGCATTATATCATGTATGCTCTGACTAACACATGGCTCACCCAGAACCGGTCACGAAACATCCTCTCATACCCTGACTTGGGTCTTGTCACTGCTCGCCAAGAACACCGATTGGCAAGAAAAGCTGTATGCCGAAGTCAGCAAGGTGAATACTCTTCCCCTGGACGAGGACGACAGCGTGGGCGACGCGAAGCCACTGAAGTATTTCGGCTACGAGGAAATGGCAAACTTCCCTCTGGTCCTTGCAGCTACTATTGAATCACTCCGCATGCGCGATCTGGCCATGCAGATGACGCGCGTGGCCTCCCGCGACACCACGCTTAGCTACACAACGTGGGATGGTGACGCCGCCAACCCATCTGAGGCCAAGGTACACCAACACACCGTTGCCATTCCCAAGGGCACGCGCGTGCACCTCGATA